AAAATATAAGACTCTGGCAGACAGCTTTGGAACACACTCCAACCCTCTTGGCCATGGAATCAGAAGGGAGGGTAGCTGGCAAGGTTTGAGTGGCCCTGGAAGAGGCCAGGACACTCCATTGCTGCTGCCAGGTCCATTCTGTTGGTGTTAGGTATGCTCTGTGACAGAAAAGGGACAATGGACTATAGGAAAGACCCTTCCGCCAGAGCCAAGATCCTGTGTAAATGCTGCTGTGACCTTGGCCACCAGCAGGGACTGTTCCCAGAGCTCAGCCTCTTCATCTGTCCAATGGATACACGCGTACCTTCGTCAGTACTTGCACTAGCTTAAAAGATATTTTACAATGTAAAATAGACCATAGGTGGCAGTGCAATCTGTAAATCCCAGCAAGGGCATTGAAATGAGATTGAAGCCAGACTAGACTATAGGAGACCCTATCTCAAACTCAAAACTGGGTGATGATGCTAAAGAACATAGCAAGCCAGGCGGCGGGGTGCACACCTTTCATCCCAGCACTCGGGAGTCTGCAGCAGGAGGATTTCTGTGAGTTCAAGGCCAGCCTGGTCTACAAGCTAGTTCCAGGATAGTCAGAACTACAGAGAAATCCTGTCTCAAAACAAAACAAAAGCAAAAAGAGCGTAGTGGAACCTTTCGGTGAGCAGGTAATTAACGAATCTCAAGGGCACCCTGATTCCTTAAGTGTGGACAACTGTCCCCAAATCTGTCACATATCATTTGCTTTACGTTTGTTTATTTTTTGTTTTTGTTTTCCAAGACTGCTGGTCCTGAACTCAGAGATCTGCCTGCCTCTGCCTCCCAAGTGCTGGGCTTAAAGGCGTGCACCACTACTGCCCGACTACATGTCCTTTTCTTACATGAACTTTATGACCCCACAAGGACATAACATCCTCACCATTATTCAAATGGGAAACTGAGACTTAACCAGGGGAAATCACTGGACAAGACCTCATGGTTAATGATTGTGCTAATTGGCAATGGGGCTAGGTGGCAAGCTGTGCAGTAAGTACACTTTGTGACCTTCCTACACAAAGCTGCTCCTATGACTGTGTGGCAATCCCCCTCCTCACAAGGAAAAGGAACTCTAAAGGACCCAGTGCTTGGGCTGGTTGGGAAAGTACCTGGCCTCCTTCCTCAGATGAACCAGACATAGCAGGCATCATTAAGCCTGCACTCCCTCAGGCAGGCACAGCTTCTCCTGAGAAACCAGACTTGGGACAACACTTACTTTGTCTGAATGCAGAATTGCCTTCCTTGCTTTTCAGTGTTAGGGACGAGTCTTGAACATGCTAAGATGCTCTTTACCACTGAGTCAAACCTCCAGCCATGGAAGAATCTTTGTATATGAGATAAGGAGGTATATGTGTGTATACACGGTGCATATATTTATATGTGAAGACCAGAGGTCTCTCTCCACTCTAAAATTTTGTTTTGTTTGAGACAGAGTCTCTTTATGTAGCCCCGGAACTCTTGCAAAGCAGGCGGGCCTCAATCTCAGAGAGATCATTCTGCCCCTGGAGTGCTGGGATTAGAGATTAAAGGCATACATCACCACACCCGGCTCCACTTTCTTTTTCTAGATGGGGTTTCTCTGTGTAGCCTTGGCTGTAGCAGACCTAGATCTGTAGGCGAGGCCTGCCTCTGCTTCCCAAGTGCTGGGATTAGAGGTGTGCACCACCACCTCCCGGCTTCCTATTTCCAGTTTTGAGACAGTCTCTTACTGAATCTGGAGTTCAGCGATAGGCTCTAGGTTGCCTGGCCATGGCTCGTGGCCTCCTTTCCACCTCCCGGAGATGGGTTATAGATGTGCCTGCCCATCTGGGGACGAGAGCTCAGGTCAGCACTTTACCCATGGAGCCATTTCCAGGTCAATTTCTGAGTGTGGATGGAGACAGGAAAGCCAACTTTATTCTCCTGGAACAAAGCACAGCTCATAGTTGCAGGGGTGTGACCACTGAGGGACACGGGAATGAACTCATTCCATCACCCAGCAGTACCCCCAAATAAAGAGCTTTACTGGGGCTCCCATATGGTGGTTTCCCCACATTACTTTAAATTTAATAATCTCAGTGGAAACATTAACAGATTGTTGTTGTTGTTTTATTAGTTAAATAAAAACCTCGGGACTGGGGATGTCGCTCATTGGCAGAGTGCTTGCTTAGCATGTAACAGGCCGTGGCTTTAGCTCCAAATTGCTTCCCATCTAAAGTATTGGGGAACAAATAGCATAATGAATAAATATGGAAGCTCAGAGAAAACTGGCTTTGGGAACAGGCTGAATGTCCACCAGTAAGAGGAAAGCAGTAAGTTGTATGTATATTTAGACGTGTGCCAATGAATGTGCCCGAGGAGGCCAGAGATCTAGCTAGATGTCATCCTCTGTCGTTCTTCACCTTGTTTTTTGAGACAGGGTCTCACTCTGACCCTGGGGCTTACTAGTCACTAAACTGAGGTGTGCCACACCTAGCTCTTATGTGGATGTCAGGGATCCAATCTCAGGCTCTCATGCTTGGGCAGAGGCTCTTTATCAGCTGAGCCATCTCCCAGACTCTGTAACTGTTTTGAAAATTTTAAGGAAGTTATATATTACACAGAACAAATTCCAAGGTACAGTGTAAAAAAAATAGATATAAAAGTGGGTATGTAATATGTCACTATATTCACTAAAACAATGAAAAAAACAAAACTCAAAACTGTTGTTTCCTATGTCAGGTATCCGCTGCTGTGGGAGGAAAGTTCCCCCTAAGCACAAGTGATTTAAAAAAACGTTTCCATTTGCATGTGTCAAGAATCCAAGCACAGCTCTGCTGGCATTTTTAGCTCAGGTCCTTATGAGGCTAGGCTGTCATCTGGGGCTGTGAACCCATCTGAAGGTTCAACTAGTGCAGGGGGACGTTTCCAAGCTCCTTCACATGGTGTTGTCCAGCACAGACCCCTCCCATGTCTCTCTACTAGGTGGAAATACGGAGTTTTGGCTGACATCCCCAAAGGTGGGAGAGCAAGGGGCAGCAGCCGAGACAGAAGCAGTGTTCTTTACAGCCTATTCCCAGAGTGACTCTCACTATTCTCCCAGCAGCAGCTCAAGCACAGAGAGGCTCCATCAAAAGGCAAGGAGTACAGAAGGACAAGAATATTAGAGGAGGGGTCACCAGGGACCACCTCAGAGAGTACCCACCATTTCAGAGACACCAGAAGCACTTAGCAAAGGCTGTCTGCAATGAAGAGAAGTGGGCAGATGGGGAAATTTTTCACTGAATATATCCGTGTACATTTTACACTTGAGGTTGTGTGATCCTTATTCAACAAGTAACTCACATTTATTTTATCTAAAATAATGAAAAGGTTGTCATTTTAGGGACTGGAGAGCTGTCTCAGTGGTTTAGAGCACTTGCTGCTCTAGCAGAGGACCCAGGTTCAGTTCCCAGCACCCACACGGCAGCTTATAACCATCTATAACTTTAGTTCTGGGAGATCCAAAGCCCTCCTCTGGCCTCCACAGGCATCAGGAACTTAAAATGCATTCTTAGCAAAAGAAAAAGAGAAAAGATAGCATTTTTAATTAAAAAAAAAAGCTAAGAGTGAAGAAAACAGCCGGGCTATGATGGTGCACACCTTTAATCCCAGCACTCAGGAGGCAGAGGCAGGTGAATCTCTGTGAGTTCAAAGCCTGGTCTACAGAGTGAGTTCCAAGGCAGGTTCCAAAGCTACAGAAAAACCCTAATACCCTGTCTCGAGGAAAAAAAAAAGAGTGAAGAAAACAAAAACACTCCTATTTAAGTAAGTTATTACCAAACACCATAAATATGTTTCAAACAAAACAAAACAAAGCCACTTTCTTTTTAAATTATCCATCCTCTGTATTAAGTCCTGTTCATGGCAGCCTTGACTTCTACAAGCTGGGATCCCAAGGCAAGTGGCCACTGCACAGAGTGTGGCTCTGATCAATGAATGACTCAAGGCTGCTTCTCAGCCTATTTCCTGTTACTGTGTATGATGGCTAATCTTGGCTGTCAACTTGACCACAGCTGGAATCAACTAAAACCCACGTAACTGGCCCTGTCTGTGAGGGATTTTCTTGACTGGATCATTAGGGGTGGGAAGACCCCCCTAAATCTGGATCATGTGAGGTGGGAAGACCCATCCTAAATCTGGATCATTAGGAGTAGGAAGACCCATCCCAAGTCTGGACCACATAAAAGCACATGGAAGAAGAAAGCTTTTGCTTTAGGCTTGCCTGCCCTCCCTCTCACCTCTCTCTCTCTCTCTCTCTCTCTCTCTCTCTCTCTCTCTCTCTCTCTCTCTCTCTGTAGTTCTGTTCCTTTGAGAACTCTAAACCACAGACAAGTGCAACTGAAAGGAGAAAGGGTTTATTAGGCTCATATTGACGTCCATCACTTCAGGGACGTCAAGGCGGCAAGCACTTGGAGCAGCTGGCCACATGACACCCATGGTAAAGAACAATGGATCAGTGCATGCCTGCTGGTGCTCAGTCTGCTCTCTCTTTCGATCTAGGGCCCAGCTATGAAATGACGCCACCCACATTCAGGATGGCTCTTCTCACCTCAATTAAGAAAATCCTGCAGACTTGCCTGCAAGCCAACCAAATCTACAACATTCCTCATGGAGACTCCCTCCCCAGGTAAAATAACAGTCAAAGGTCACAGTCACAGTCACAGCTGGCACATTCACTGTCACTCCAAACCCAGAAGAACACAGCCAATGAGAGGTCACGGGAGTCTCAACCCTGGCATCTGGGGAGGCTCACTATTCTCAGTTAACTTCTTCCTTTCCAGTCCCCCCCCCCCTTTTCCCTTTTTTTGGAAACAGCATCGCAGGATGTAGTCTTGGTTAGTCTGGAGCTATGTAGACCAGGATGATCTCAAAGTCACAGAGCTTACCTGTCTTTTCTCACCAGCAGTGGATTGGATATTCCCAGCCCTCAGTTACTTTTTTTTTTTTTTTTATTTAGCTTATTTCTTTTATGTACACTGGTGTGAGGGTGTCTGATCCCCTGGAACTAGAGTTACAGACAGCTGTGAACTGCTATGTGGGATTTCTGGAAGAGCAGTCAGTGTTCCTAATTACTGAGCCATCTCCCCAGCCCCCCTCAGTTACTTTCAACAACAACAGGGGACCTCTCCAGGACAAAGCTTTCAGAACCGCTCATGCTGCACCATCTCCCCCTGGTGGCTGGCCTTGGAAATGGAAATTGGCTTGATTTCCTACTGTGAAGTGAAAAACATTTTAAATGCTCCCTTTCCTTCAATCCCTCCCTTTTGTGGTGTGCAAGGGACTGAATCGAGGGCTTCACGTGTGCCACACACACTGCTGCTGCCCTGCACTCCTAGACCCGCTCCTACCTTTAAACCACTAAGGACTCAGATAGTGACACACACATAACCAAGACCTGAGTCAACCCAAGTACTCCAGCTGACACAGAAGCAGAGGCAGCTGTGGACCTTTACCTCCTGTCCTTTCCTTCCTTGCCACTTAAGCCTACTGATGGAGATGGGCACTGCTTATCAGCGCTGCCTTTCCTATTCCCTCCACCCCAGGCACCTCCCAGAGCCGCAGACGCAGTGGTCACGGACCCTCGGACATGGCCTGGACCTCTACCATAGGCACTGGTATCTCAGTCCATCAGGCTGCCGTGCTGACGTTCACTTAGAAACAGCTGAGAGCGCTGCTCCGCTGCAGGGACCCAGATCTCCAGACACCGCGCAGCTTCCTGGCTCCTCCAGGAAGAAGGAGACACTCACCAGGATATCTAGAACAGGAAGAGGGTTACAAGACAAGGTTATAAAGGCCCCAAAGCACAGCAGGGGTGTCCGTAACACCTCCAAAGAGGTGAGCAGCAGGGAAAGGGAGGCAGCATGGGGAACTAATGGAAACCAGTACCTGACACAAGGGTTTGGCACTCATCTTCTGAAATTTGGTCCCAGGCGTTAGGCAGTGCTTGGATGCTGGCCAAGTCTCCCCAGTGGATGGAGGAGAGGAGGTATTTTCTCTTCAGGTACCTTCCCAGAAGTTAAGGACAGCTCAAAAAGAAGAAAGGAAGAAAGAAGTCTGCTGGAGAGCAGTATAGGACGCTAAAAGTGGCAGCACGTCCATCAGTGTGCCTTCCCAGGTGGGCGGGGTTCACCAGTCCCAGCAGCACAACTTGATGCTACTAGGAAGGGGACTCAGACCTCACAGGCTGACGGTGGACCGGACAGAAGAGCAAAGTGGCTTGAAAGATAAAACTCAGCGGCAGTTCTAGTCAGCTGTAGTGACCCACGCCTTTAATCCCAGCACTTAGGAGCCAGAGGCAGGCAGACCTCTGTGAGTTCAAGGCCAGCCTGGTCTACGTAGTGAGTTCCAGGACAGCCAGGACTATTTAGAGAAACTAAAATGTAGCAAACACAAAAACAAAACAAGAGTCTGGCAGTTGAGATGAACACAACACTGGAGGCAACAGAGAAACAAAGCACAGGGCAGAGGAAGCAGGCAGTGGACTTGGCACTGCAAGCCTCCGGCACAGGTGGCTAAAGCTGAAAGGAGTTGAAAGGTGGCTTGAGCCAGCATAAAGGCAGCAGTGAAGGACAAGGCAGGGATTCTGAGCCTCACCCCACCCGCAACACAAGAGCTGACAACTCCTGGCTGAACGCAACTAGACCTAGACCTCGTGAAGATGTACTTAACCACAGACAGCTCAGAGAGAGAATCTGGAGACAGGAAAGGCAGGAGGGGATACAGGATTAAGAGTCCATGTCAGGGGCTGCCAAGATGGTTCACTGGGTGAAGGGGCTTGCTGCCAAATCTGATGACCTGAACTCCATCCTGGAAGCCACATGGTGGAAGGAGAGAACCAATTCTGTCAAATTATCCTCAGATCTCCTCATGAATGCTGCTAAGCATAGGCCTTGGCCACACTATTCTACTTAAAATCTTCTGAGAACTTTCATGTCAAAAGATCAGGCAAAACCTTCAAAATCCTTCTCAAAAAGCCAAGGTCCCATGTCACTATCCTCATGCCCTACCCTTACCACACAGGCCTCGTGGCTATGTCTGAAATCTACCAGGCATGCTCCCACCGAGGCCTTTTCACCCCATGTACCTTCTGCCTGGACCATTCTTCTCCCAAATATCCACATGGCTCACCCCTTCACTCTTTCAAATCTTTGCTCAAATGTCATACCCATCGCTGCCTCATGGGTACCTGCCGGACATTATTAAAATCTCAACCTCAAGCTGGGTGGTGTTGGCACACGCCTTTAACCCTGACACTCAGGAGACAGAGGCCAGGACCTCACAGTGAAACCCTGTCTGGGGGGTCACAGCCCACCTTCCTACCTTGCTTTCCCTGCTTTGTTCTTAGCACTCACCACATCTGATACAATATATTTCCCTTTTCTCAAGCCTGCCTCTCCGCACTCACAGCAGTGCCCAGCAGCTAAACTGTAAGGAATGACTGTAAAACAAACACAAACGCAGGAAGAACCCAAGTTTGAGCTCTAACGAGAACTGCAGCAAACTATACAGCCTGCTGATCTTGTGGACTGTGAACCAGCAAAGGCTTCTAGAGCGGCTCTGAGCAGTCTGGACACACTCAAGGATATGACCTTCGATAATGTCTGTCGATGTCTTGCAGCCACTCCAACATGTCGGCCACAGAGGGGCTCACCACCGAGGGCTGCAGGACAGCATCCACGTCAAGCGCAGCCGAATGCTGCTCGTAGGTCTGAAACACCCGCTCCACATGGCTGCTGACGGTGTCTCGAACCTTGAGGAGGGTGGCTCTGTGGGAAAAGTGGTATGTTAGGCAGAATCTCCAAAATCACTACTGGCATTTGGAGGTTTTGTTTCAGAGGGCATCCAAACCCTCAGACACTCCTGGGAAGTGGTCTACCGCTGAGCTACACCCCAGCCCCACCACTTTGCGAATTCTTTTTAATTAAGTATGGGAGAGGGGGCACACATGCCACAGTACTTGTGTGGAGGTAAGGGGGGGCTACTTTGGGGTGTTCATTCTGTCCTTCCACCTTTCTGTGGGTTCTGGGAACTGAGCCATCTTGACTACCCTTTTTTAACGGGTTCTTGAATGACAATGTGGGCTTGAGGTGCACAGACTTCTGGGGAAAGTGAGTTAATCCTGTGTATAAAGGCTCCTTTGCTCACTGTGTCTCACAAGAATAGGACCACACACACCCCAAATACAGCCAGTGTACCAGTGAATGAATGGTCATTAGAAAGAAAAATAATGACGAAGTGTAGAAAGTGCTTTTGTACCTGTGATGGTGGTGGCAGTGCATGCCTTTAACCCCAGTACTCAGGAGGCAGAGGCAGGTGCATCTCTGTGAGTTTGAAGCCAGCCTGGTCTACAAAGCAAGTTCCAGGACAGCCAGGGCTACACAGAGAAACCCTGTCTTGGGGGGGGGGGGAGGAAAAGTGATCTTGGCAGTGCCTAGGTATTACTCTTTGTCTTTTCCTTTTTTTTTTTTCCAAGTCAGGGAGCTGGGACTAAAGGTATGTGCCACTGGCTGTCTAAGTATTATGAACCATCAGCAAGACAAGGGCTGTAACTTTCCAAAGGACAAAGGACCCCCTAGCCCCGAACTGGGGCTCTAAAAAGCCCACTGTGTAAAACAGGAAACAATCCAAAACCCTCCAAGTCTATTGAGTCTAGCTTGAAGATTGTGATGAACAGTAATAAAACAAACAGTAAACAAAGTATCAGTGCAACTCCTGTGTTACTGTTTGGTGGCCGTTTCAGTTATTCTGTATCCACCTGTGTGTAGAACAAAGGGGTGGCAGGGAGCCCCAGCTAATGTGGCAAACACGCTTCAGAATCCCCTCCCCCCTGCTCTATTCTCACTGGCTATGTGATCAGGACAATCGGTCTGACTTTCCATTTTTTGTGCTTCCAGGTATATGAACAGGGTTAAGCCAGAGGTACTTAAGGTAACGTAGTACACAAAGCCCTTAGTTCTAGCATGTACCAACCCTACAGCATACCAAAGACAACTACAGAAGACTACATTCTCTCCAGTCCCCTTCTTTTCTGTTTTTGTAATTTCTTTTGTTTATTTAGTTGGTTTGGGGTTATTTATTTCTACTTTATTTATTCATTTTTTTAATTTATTTTTGAGACAGGGTTACTTTGAGCCCTGCCTGCCTCTGCCTCCTGATTACTCAGATTAAAAACATGTGCCATCACACCAGACCCGATTTTTTGTATGTTTGTTTGGTTTTGAGACAAGGTCTTATAACACAGCCCAGGCTGGCCTCAAACTCACAGTCCTTCAACCTTAGTCCCCTGAATGACCACTTAGAGCTTGCTTTTGTAACTTTTGTAGGCCCACCCTTGATTGGGGATGGGATGTCATGAAGCTTTAAGGTCTTCCCACCAAGAAAGGGGGTCAGGGAGCCTCTTACAGCCTCTCAGCTAGCTTGTCCAGGACAATGTCGCCAGCCTCCAGTTGCTTGCGCCTCAGCCGCTCCTGTAACTCCGGGAAGGGTCGAAGGGCCGGCACGTCCTCGAACCGCAGATTCTGCGCAGCCTGCAGCTGCTCAGCCAGGCTGCTGAGGGAGGAGAGGAGGGACGAGCAGCCCTGCAGAGTGCTCTGCCACAGGGCCTGCTGCTCTTCCACCACCGGGAAGCACTTCCTCAGGGCCACCTGCACAGCCAGCAAAGGCTGGTCTTGAGCCATCTTCTGGGAAGACAAAAGCAAGAGTCAGGGTACCAGAAGGGTTGGGTCCGGCTCAAGGGTGATCATTTCTGACCTCATGAAGAAGGCCACCTTTTGATCTTCAAATAGTCCTAAGGCAACACAGAAAGGCAGGGAGACTCCAGGGGTGTGAAAAGGAATAGGCCCTCCGTCCTCATCCTGGAAGCAGTGTGATGCCTCTGGTCAACAAGAAGTGAGAATTCCAGCCGTACAGTTACCAACTGCTTAAGGCCTTCCTCCCTTCCCAGCTTCAAACCTCCCATCTTGTAGAAAGCTCACCAGAAACCCCATTTACAGAGAAAGACACGCACTACCCCTTGTACAACCATGGTAGCTCCTGGTTTCACTTTACTAGATTATAATCCAGAAACCGCCTCATTTACTTCTCGTATCAAAAAGAAGAAAGAGAAGGGAATGACAAGTTGTTTTTTTTTAAAGAAATCCTCTTGAGATATATCTTGAAAGCCAACAAAGTAGTATCCATGGTTAATGTTAAGACAATCAATTACAGACTCTCCCTTGAGAAGCCCACACCGTCTTCGATATTTTGTACTTTCTGAGATTCTGTGAGTAGCCTGCAAGTGTCTTTTACTTTCTGTCTAGTGCCTCTCTCTTAATCCTTGTCCTTAAGCCATTATTAAAAATAACTTTAGGCCGGGCAGTGGTGGCGCATACCTTTAATCCCAGCACTCAGGAGGCAGAGGCAGGAGGATCGCTGGGAGTTCAAGGCCAGGCTGGACCGACAGCCTCCAAAACAATACAGAGAAACCCTGTCTCGTAAAAAAAAAAAACAAAAACAAAAAACAAAACAAAAAAAAAAAAACTTTAGGCTAGGCATTGTAACATGCACCTTTATTCCAGCACTGAGGAGTCAAGAGACAGACAGGTCTCTGAGTTTGAGGCAACCTCGTCTACATAGAGCATTCCAGACCAGACAGTGTTACATGGCAAGTCCCTACTCAAGTGTACTCGTGTGTGTGTGTGTGTGTGTGTGTGTGTGTGTGTGTGAGAGAGAGAGAGAGAGAGAGAGAGAGAGAGAGATGTTTTTCCATGTTTTTAATTTAATTTTACATTCCAACCACAGTTCTCCTTCTTAAACTAACCATAGTCCTGAATTCTTTTCAGCTTCAAAGCCACCAACTGAGCTGCAGTCCCTAAAAGCGTAGGGGACAACTCACGCTGCTGAGGGTGGTCTCTGTCTTGTCACCGCTGGCCCTCAAGAGTGGAGGATCTGGCGGTCCTCTTACCAGCTCCCTCTGCAAAAGGACCCTTGCTTCTCACCTCGGGAAGGGGGTCCTGGGAGTCTTCAAAAGAGGCTTCTTCAGGACTGGGCAATCTTCCGCTTTAGCCTGCGAGTCTCTGGGGTCTGTCTCTCCTCGAACCCGTGCTTTTGGAGCCAGGGTCTTGTCTTGTCTCTGAGATTGCCAGCCGTGTCCCTAAACCCGCAGGAGAATTCAAATCCTGGGTAGCCAAAGCTAAGTGGCCACCAAGAACCACACTGCGCTTAGCACTCTGCACATGCTCAAAAGCAAACGCGACTCCGACGTCGCGAAAAGAAGGCGTAGGCCGCAATGACCTATGGGCATTGAAGTCCTCTATGAGCATTGGTTGCGGGATGGAGAAGAAGCTTTGTTATGATTGGGCGTTGTAACAACCGTCCGAAGACGGCGACTTGTTACTGGCCATCCTGTATCCGTTAAATTTGAATTGGGTGGCGGTTAACGGGGGAGCAACCTCTCCCTCAGCTGGAGCTGCGAGGTTTCCTGGGTTTGTGTTTCGGCGCCCGCAGGGACACGTCCGCAAACTTCTGGGTACCCGGACTCCAACGGCTGAACTCCCGCTGCTCCGTGGTCGCTCACGTCCTCTTTCCCTGCTTCAGCCGCTGAGCCGGCTGCTCGGTCCTTCGCTCGACGCAGCCCCCCCCCGGCGCCATGGCTCCCAGGAAGGGCAGCAGCCGGGGCACCAGGGCTAACGCGCTGCGGAACCGCAAACTCGCCTCCTTCCTGAAGGACTTCGACCGCGAGGGTAAGGGCTGGATTCGCGGCCGTCGCGAATTTCCGGCGGCTTGGGGGCGCGGGTGCGATGGCTTCGCCCTCTTGTTGACACGGGATCCGTCGGCTTGATCTCTCCGCAGTGCAAATTCGAATCAATCAAATCGAGTCCGACAGACAGAACCTCCTCAAGGAGGTGGAGAACTTGTACAACATCGAGATCCTTCGGCTCCCCAAGGCGCTGCGCGAGATGAATTGGCTTGACTACTTCGGTAAGAGCGGATGACGTTTTTCCTGGTAGCCGACTAGTGCTAATCTTAAAAGCTTTTGTAGGGGCGCGTTCTTAATGAGGACCAACAGAACCACCCGTGGGGATTTGCCGCCTGTCTTAACTCGTGAAAGAATGACAGACCCGTAGAAAGGAAGCTGACATGAGTTACCCCTCAGATGAGAGAGAGCTCTAGAGAGAGAGCCTTCATGTCTGACCAAGCCTATGCTGGCCTACCTGCTAATAGGCAAGGACGCAGGAACTAAGTAGGACTATAGAGTTGTCCTGCGGCTTTTCAGAAGAGGGACAGAATTGCAAGGCCACAACACAGCACTCTCTTTTTCTTGTCATCTCTCTGTTCAAGGAGAGAATTGGGGAGTCTCACCTGGGACTGTCTTGCAGCCCAAAGGGTAAGCAAACGCTTTCTCTTAATAGGCCAGGTAACAAATGTTTTAGATTTCTAGAATTGGATTTCTGTTACAGTTCCGAAAGAGCCGTGGTGAGATTTATTTCTGGGCACACTGAAATGTCAATCTCACACAATTTTCACAAATCAGAAAATACTTGTGTATATGAGTAAATTAAGAATAAAATGATGGACAGGCGTTGGTGGCGTACACCTTTAATCCCACCACTCAGGGACAGAGGCAGGTGGATCTCTGAGTTCGAGGCCAGCCTGGTCTACAGAGCGAGTTCTAGGACAGCCTCCAAAACAATACAGAGAAACCCTGTCTCGAAAAAACAAACAAACAAAAAAGAATAAAATGATTCGGCTGTGTCATGGTTCAAGTAGAACAGTATCCTCAAACAGCTCTTTCTTATGGAAATTGCCAATTTAAAAGCAAGCAAGTCACATGTGAACTGCAAAGACAGGAGGATTTTTCTGACCAGAGGGAAATCCCAACCCATTCCCCACCACTTGTTAGACATCGGGTGCAACGCGGGGAGGGAACTATGAGTGTTCCTGTTAGTGAAAATATGAATGCTAGTATGATGTTAAATACAGTGGTTGTCACCTTCCTCTCCCATCCATTATGTGGCTGTTGCTTTCTGTCTTCCTCATCACTGGTGGCTACTGGTGTGTGTTTCTTCCTGGGTGGAAGTACATGTTTTGCTCACAAGAGCCATGATTCTTCTGACATGCCTCATTAATCCATGTGTTCATTCATTTCTACGAAGTTGTCAGTCCCTATGCTAGGTACTAAAGATGCAGCAAGGGATAAACAGATATTGTTCCCACACTACAAGCTTACTGGAGAAGGGTCATTTAAAGAGTCATATAGAAGCTGTGAGATAGTGGCACATACCCCGTCTAAGCTCCAGGAGAGCCAAGGCTACACAGAGAAACCCTGTCTTGGGGAAAAAAATCATATAGCAGTAGAATTTCTGGTCTTTCAAAAAGGAGTTTCTTTGTGTAGTTTTGGAGCCTGTCCTACAATTCACTCTGTAGACCAGGCTGGCCTTGAACACAAAGAGATCCACTTGCCTCTGCCTCCCAAGTGCTGGGATTAAAGTCAAGCACCACCAAGGCCTGGCAGAATTAGAATTTTAAATACTACAAAAAAAAAAATGGGAGTAATATCCAGTAAGTATAAATTAATCATAATAGTAGGCTAGTTTTGTTTTTTGTTTTTGAGACAGGGTCCCTTTGTGGCCATGGCTATCCTGGACCTCTCTTAGATTAAAGTGTCTTGAGATTCACCTGCCTCTGCATCCCGAGTGCTGGGATTAAAGGCGTGTGCCACCATGCCAGGCTGTGGGCCAATTTTAGAATGATAAGATTACGACACAGAGAGATACTTTACTCAGGCTCTCGTGTTTGAGCCCCAGGCATTCTATTTCTAAGGCCCAAGATCTTAACTGTGTACACAGGATTCCATGAGGATTTCTAACAAAAGGAGCTAACCTAAGTTCTCATTCTACCACTAGATCTAACAAAGACTTATTAGTCTGCACATTTACTATGCCAGGTTTTTTACCAGGACGGAGGGATATTATCTCTGGAATTCAGTTCAAACAGGAGTAGACACCTAAATAGCTTTAGTAGCTTTTGGGTATTTTGCTGTGTTGTGTACATATGTATTTACAGTTTGAAGCAGTGTTATAATAGAAATGTTAACAGTATCAACGCACTGAGTCATGGGGACAGCTGCACATTGGGGAAACCACAGGATCTTTGGGGACATGGAAGGTAGAATGACTAGCTACAACAGGGAGGGGTCAAACTGGAAGATTGTGAAAAGCAGAGCAAGACCAAAGACTTCATTGATCCAGTTTGAGAAAGATAATTGATAGTGCTGGGAAAGATAATTCATCATTCAGACCTGATAGTAACTAAATGTGGTGTTCTTTTTAAAGCCCTTGGAGGAAACAAACAGGCCCTGGAAGAGGCAGCAACTGTAAGTAAATCATCTTGTTTTGGGGTTGGTTAGTTTGTAAGTTTAATTCTGTCATAAAATCCAACTATTGAGTGTATACTGTAGAAAAGGTTTTGTCAGGGGACATTATCTGTGTCAACTGAAAAAATATAATTGTGTCAAGATACTGCATAAATGAAGTCCAAGTAGATCTCAGTCCTTTAACAGGAGTATGCTGTGTGGCACCTCCGTCCCCTACATCTGTGACTCCCTCACCTTCGGTTGCAACCACTCATGGTCAGAAATATTCAGAAAAAAAAGATTGCATCCACACTGAATGTGTACATACTCATTCTCTAAGCGCCACAGCTTATCAACTGTTTACACAGTATTTCCCTGGTGTTAAGTGTTTGGACTTGTTTAGAGAGACTTTAAAATAAATTATGGCACATGTTTATGTTATATGCAAACACTATCCCATTTTGTTTACTTTTTGATTTCCTGACAGTCTCACCCAGGCTGGCCTGGAACTGCGATCTTCCTGCCCACCTCTCCAGTCCCTTCTTCATGCCACCTTAAAATTTCATCAGACAACAGACCATCTTATATCAAAGACCATCTTATATCAAAATATTTGGCCTTTTAACTGTGCAACTCCATGGTTACAGTGTCGAGACCTTTGCTAGTTATAACAAGCACCTTTGAACCTTGCCTGAGTTTGTTAATGAAGTGACAACACTGAATGGGGTCCTGTTACCAGGAGACTCAACTATATACCATCAGAGGATTGGGGCTCAGAGCACCCCTTCCTCTGGAAGGAAGAGCTAAGCGTAAACTGATCGCAATGATAATGATCAGTCAGTCATGCCTATGTACCTCCATACAGCCTCAAACTGACAAGGTGAAGTTCACGGGTGGGGGTGGGGGCAGGGTAAAGACTGAAGACCGTTGGGTGGAAAGAGGGAGTGCAAACTGAGAGAGGTTAAGGAAACATCCCAAGGAGACAAAGATTGCCCTGTTACATACACAAGCAGTCTCTTAGAAGGCCATGTATCCAGCCTGTTGCCAGGCCAGGTGTTAGCCTTGCAGTCTCTGCCCATGCAAAGAGTTTCTTAGGTGCTGCAGACCTCTGGTGGAAAGGCTCTGCCTGCCTCTGCTGTTTGCTAATGCAGGGTATAGAGTTGTCACCCAAGAAGGGCTTCTCAGAGGCAGCCTGTGCCCACCCATAGAGGTCTGCAGTTCTGAGTAACCTCAAAATGTGCCAGAGAAGTATATGTGGGAGGGGATATTTTACTTCCCCACAATCTCTTTCTCTATACCCTTTGTAATAATTTTTATCATAAACTGCCAAATGTAGGGCTGGCACAAATGGTTCAGCAGGTAAAGATAATCTACCACAACTGACAGCCTGGGTTAGACACCTGAAGCCCATGTGGTAGGAGAGAGTTGATCAAATTGTCCTCTGATGACATGAGGGCTTAGACACATGCACATACATATAAGAACATGAAGTGAACTGGTTTTCTGTTTGAGACAGCAGCTCCAGGTGTGCACAGTTGTAAGGACTCCCGTCTGTAGCCAATAGAGTCATAGGTAGGGTGACTTAGGGCTATTAGGTGGGTAGTAGGGGGAGTTTCCCAGGATCTGATGGTATTCTCAGATAGATGGTATCAGAGTTGAATTAATAGTGCCCACCTAGAATCCTAGCTTGGTTTAGGGGAAGGCCCACAAAGTTATCACAGACACTTCCATGTTGTGCAGAGAATATCATAGCAGAAGGTGGATTTGTTGATCATAAGTCATCAGGGAATGTGGTCCATTTTGTCAGCTTCTTTGTGGTCCTTTACCCTGATGTTTGTAAGGGAAGTGGAGAGACTTAGAGCTTAAGTTCCTTTAACTCTTTTTAAACTCAGCTGAGCATATGGTGGTACATACCCTCAATCCCAGGATTTGGGAGGCAGAGGCAGAGGCAGGTGGATCTCTGAGTTTGAGGACAAGTTCCAGGACAGCCAGGGCTACACAGAGAAACCCAATCCCAAAAAACAAAAACAAAAAACCAAAATCTTATTATGCTGTGACCAAGCCTAGGAGACTGGGGAACATAGAGATTGTTCTTATCATGCCACATTGTTGAAGACTCTAGACCCATAGACTCAGCACACCGTAGCCCATACATTTTCCTAGCATCACCCCCAAGACTGAAGGCAGCAAGGTGTGAGGCACAAAAGGAAGGGTTTATTTCTTCAGACACCAGCATATCTGTGATGGCCAACAGTCACCATGTTGGACAGCACAGAAGTTGAATGCTTGTGTCCTTGCAGAAAGAATTACTGGACAGAATTGGGGACTAGTGCAGCACTGGCCTTCATAGAGTCCCTAGGCATGATAAAATCATGCAGAAACTGTGTACACACGCCTATTTTCTTGGGAGGAGGGTTTTTATCATAGTTGTGTGAGTTCATCAAAATCGGAGTTTTGGATTGAAAGGATACGGTGACTTAAAGGGTTCACAGTCTCACTGAGTAGCAGGTGTCCGTCAGCTTCAGAAGTGAAAGATAGTTAGGAGCCAGTTGTTGAAGTGTTCAGGGATCCGTGCTGCAGAAGGGTGGAAACACTCAGAGCAGACCGGAAGCCAGTACAGCAGTCTTGGTTAGTCCATGCTCTCTTGTTATAATACATTTCCATGACTCATCCCCCTGCAGAGACCCAGATTAATGTTTCAAAACATTCTCGCTGAAACATGCTCATTAGCTAATATGTCTCTCTCATTTTAAATTAGTCATATATGCGGAACTGCAAATAAACCTCCTGATGCAGTGTGGGAGAATCAGCATTACACACCAAACTGAAAGAGTTCCAACTTAGCTTTGATTTGAAATCCAGGGACCAAATGGCCCCAAAGCTCCTAACTAGGTTTACTGGGGCTCTCAAGACCACTGTGTGGTCAGAATTACCTTGAGCCGTGTTGGTCCTCCTGCCTCAGCCTCTCAAACACTGCAGTTATAGGTTTGGTGATTCCCTAAGAAGATGCACAGGACTCAGCATGTAGTTATATAGTGGCAATGACTTATCAATCACAGAATGAGCCCAAGTTCAGAGGAAGCCAAGAGGCTAAGCATAGTGATGCACGCTTTTAATCCAAGCACTTAGGAAGCAGAGGTGGGTGGATGTCTGTGGGGCCAGCCTGTCTATATAGTGAATTCTAGGACAGTCAGGGCTGCATAGAGTGACCCTGTCTTAACAAAACCAAGCCAGAGGAAGCCAGGTGTAAACATCCAGGAGTCCCCTTCCAGTGGAGTTGCAAGACAAGTGTAATTCAATGTATGTATACTGTTTCCTTAGCAGAAAACCTCACTCAAGACCCCATACTGATTTTTACGAGGACCAGTCACTTGGGCATCTGCTGCCTAAACTATGTTTATTTGCACTAAGTTTAAGTACAGAGCTATTGTTAGCAGGATAAGGAATCCTCAAATCCTTGTTCTCAGGAGCCTTCTAAGGTCCAACTTCACAGTCAGGCCGTAGTGCTAACTCTTGCCCTGTCTGTGTCCATGGCCTGCCACTAGTAGTGAGTTCAAAGCCTGCCAGCATGCCAGTCATTAGAGATGGTAGAAAGTTGCAGAAATGCCCCACTTTCTTTTTATCAGCTTGGTAGACATCACTAATCTTTTACAACTGTTTCTTGCTGAATGTTTACAGCCTCAGAATTCTACCAGTCCATCTAACAATCCTGTGTCAGTCATGCTTTGTGGGACTTCAGTGTCCCATGAAGAAAGGCCTGACTTCAAACCCAGTCTTCTCTTGGCTGTGTAGGCAGACCCTGTCTCAAACAAACAACACTACCAATATGCAAAAACAACTGAAAAGTGTGTGTGTGTGTGCTACATGATGTGTGTATACACATCATGTAGCACACACACACGTATATGTAGCTGCAATCAAACCCATAAACTCCCTTTAAATTAATGAAGTAATCATGGTTTGCCTCTGAGGAATGACAGAAGAGACAAGGAAACCACACAAGGAAAGAACACAGCCAGAAGCAAGTTATTGGCAAGGTCTTAGACTTGAGTTGTGGGGGCAGGCTTATAATTAGTTTATAATTAGTCTGTACCTTAATTTACTGTTTCCCATACACACTGGACTAAGCCTGCCGCTTTCTGGCTTTGTCACAGGCTGATGTAGACATCACAGAAATAAACAAGTTAACAGCTGAAGCTATTCAGACACCTTTGAAATCTGTCAAAAGTGAGTACTTTTCCTTTTCTTTTATATAATTTTGTGTATATGTGTGTGTGAATATGTGGAGACAAAGGCTGACACTGGGTGTTTATGTCACTTTATTGACACAGGGTCTAACCCTCTTCAGCCAGTCTAGCTAGCCTGCTTGCCACATGCAATGTCTCCACCCCCTGAGGGCTGGGATTACAGATGGCCTTTTCCCTCAGTTTTGGGTGTCTGAACTCCATTCCTCATGCTTGCTTGTATGGCAAGCGCATTACCCACTGATCCATCTCCCAGGGCCTTTAGTGGTTTGACTGGGACTGTCAGTTTGCAGCACAAGAGAGCCTACAGCTGGCTATCCCCTTACCTCAGTGCTGGAGTTAGAGGCGTGTGCCAGCTTGCCTGGTGTGAATGCATTTCAAGCCCCTTGTGGAACAGAGTTGAGGTCCAGGGAGCTTTGTTGGCTACTTAGACCAGGCCTCGTCAGTGTGCCTCTCTCTGCCAAGTATAAAACCTGATCTGTGAAAGGCGGTGGCAAATACTTTTAATCCCAGCACTCCAGAGGCAGAGGCAGAGGCAGGTGGATCTCTTGAATTCAAGGTCTACATAAATAGTTCCAACACAGCCAGGGTTCACAGAAAAACCTGGCATTATCAGCAGGACTTAAGAGAATTGCAAAGTAACGCCCTTCTCAGCATTTAAATTCTTGTGGCTCTGTTCAGTGATCTGCCTGTGCAAAATCATCTCACATGCATATCCCATACTGTGGGACAGTTGCTACGTTTATTTATCTGGGAATGGGGTGGTGTGTACTGGTAGGACAATTTAAAGTAATTGGTTCTCTTCTCTTTTACTAGAGGTATGGATCCAAGGGGTTGGACTCAGGTCAGGAGGCTTGGTGGCTCCTGACCTGAGCCATCTTGCCAGCTCAGAAGCAGTTCTTTGGGAAGCCAGGCTGTAACTCATGAGCACGGAGTCAGATTGGGTGAAATAAGGCATCGTCCTTTTTTTTACAAAAAGAACTGGACTACATGCCACTGTCATTGCTTGGCAGCAGCTTGATGCATCCCATTCTGGTGAGAGGCAGACCTTACCATGGCCTGGATGTGCAGGCTGCTCTCCAGGGGACATTTGACACTCACCCGAAACAGACCATTGCTAATTGTGACAGCTTCCATCACACCTGCCTTGTAGAATAAAGAAAGCTTGAGGTGTCCCCTGCATACAGGATGGAATTGGCTTAGAGTACCTGGCCCTATGTCAGTCTGTTAGGTCCCTCTGTATCTTTTTGTTGATTGGTTGGTTTGGACATTTTGTTTTGTTTTAAGACAGTATGTCGCCGGGCGTTGGTGGTGCACGCCTTTAATCCCAGCACTCGGGAGGCAGAGGCAGGCGGATCTCTGTGAGTTCGAGGCCAGCCTGATCTACAGACAGAGTTCCAGGACAGCCTCCAAAAGCCACAGAGAAACCTTGGCTTGGAAAAAAAAAAAAAAAGACAGTATGTCTACACAGCCCTGGCTATCCTGAAACTATATGTAGCTGGACTTGAACTGGCAGAGATCTGCCTGCCCCTGCCTCCTGAGGGCTGGGGTTAAAGGTGTGCACCACCATGTCCAGCCTTCACTGTCGTGTCTGTGTTTAGATAATTCCGCTTTTTCTTTCCCCTAAGTTTTGCTTACTTGATGGTTAGCAGGTGGAACTGAACACACCCGGCCCATCATCAGTCAGCAGTTAACACGTGTTCTTTAACCCTTTGACCTCTGGGGGCGGGGGATGGGACGATGACACACTAGCACCTGTGGTAGCTCAGCGTCAGCTAGCCTGGGCTATCTGAGACCCTGTCTCAGAAAACACACATACACAAATATTTTATGTATCAGCGTCATGACCAATAAAAAAGGGCTATACCTGAATTTTCTCTATGTAACTCCTGCTCAGGATTTTCTAGCTTATATTTAGTTAGCAAAATTTTTGTTGGTGATAATTTGTTTTGTTCTGTTTTTTGTTGTTATTGTTTCTTTGTTTGTTTTTCAAGATAGGCTCTCTGTGTAGTTTTTGGAGCCTGTCTTGGCACTGGATCTGTAGACTAGGCTGGCCTTGAACTCACATAGATCTGCCTGCTGGGATTAAAGGTGTTTGTCACGACTGCCTGGTCTATAACTACTAGATATAGTCAGGTGGTGTCGGCACATGCCTTAATCCCAGCACTGGGGAGGCAGAGACAGGTGGGATCTCTGAGGCCAGCCTGTGAATTCAAGGATAGCCAAGGCCACAGAGAAACCCTGTCACGGAAACATCCCCTCCCCCCAAAAAAACTACTAGTTACTACATTGCTATTTGTAAATAAAATTATAATTATTTTAGGAGATACAAGGGATGTGCTAATGATTCCAGTGGAAATAACAAATTCTCGTAATTAAGGAACTCCTCTGAGGCAGACAGGTCCAACAGAAGTAACTCTTAAAACTGCTTGTTACAGAGCGGAAGGTGATCCAGGTGGATGAAGTGATAATGGAGGAAGAAGAAGAAGAAAAGAATCCTAGGAATCTTCGATCTACAAGAGTAAGTAGGGATTGGAGTTAGGGATAAATGCGGGCAGGGTTAAACAAGTACAGAAAGGTGGGTACGGCTGGGGAGATGGCGGGGCCGTGTAGAGCACTGGCTGCTCTTGCAGGGGACCCTGGTTCAATTCCCAGTGCCTGCGGTGGCTCACAACTGTGTGCAACTCCAGTTTCAAGGGATCTGACACCTTCTTCCATCCACAGCCCCCAGGCACACTTGTAGCACACAGACATACAGGCAGACACAACACCTGTATAAATAAATAATTTTTTTTTAATGTGGAATACGGTGTTGCTCTGGCAGAGTTCACAGACTGAAAAGATTGCACTTTGTGTGTCAAATAGCATGTCACTGCAGACACAGGTGTACAGTGTGTGGATGAGGAAGAAGAGGAAGCTTAAGGGTACACCCAGCCAATCCTGTCAGAGCAAGCTTCACTGGCTGAAGAAGAAGAAAGGGTGGAGAGTTGGGGACAGGCGAGGCGCAGGAAGTGGTTTGGTATAGCTGCAATAGAATAATGAGCTGGGCGTTGGTGGTGCACGCCTTTAATCCCAGCACTGGGGAGGCAGAGGCAGGCGGATCTCTGTGAGTTCGAGACCAGCCTGGTCTACAGAGCTAGTTCCAGGACAGCCTCCAAAATAATACAGAGAAACCCTGTCTCGAAAAACCAAAAAAAAAAAAAATAATAATAATAATAATAATAGAGGGAAGTAGAGACCATGTAATAGAACGCCCAGTATACCAAGCTTGAGTTTCCATCCTGTCAGCTAGGCACTAGTAAGTGCTATCAATATTTCAAACTATTCAGGATAAATGGAAGAGGAGAAAAAATGACGGCAAGGGGCATAGTCCAGACAGTCTGACGTAAATGCCTCTTCAAAAAAAAAAGCAGGGATGATTTTTGGGCTGAGTGTTATCAAGAAAAGGGGAGCTTGGTTGGCCTAGACTAGACAGCTGTTGTCCCAGTGACTGTAGGACCCCTGAAAAGGCAGAATCGCTGGTTAAGGTTCCAGGGGGCACCTGCCAGTTGCCTGCCCTGCTGAGTTAAGTACTTTTCAGGATGTCTAGGCTAGGCAGGATTCCTAGGTGGTGGAGAGATGAGAGACACTCTGATCCCAGGTGGGAAACCTGTGCTGGAGAGTGCGCAGAGGGGAGAGCAGCAGAGGGGAGAGCAGCAGAGGGGAGAGCAGCAGAGGGAGAGCTACCCATGTGCACTAGAGGGAAGAGCAGCAGAGGGAGAGCAGCAGAGGGAGAGCTACCCATGTGCACTAGAGGGAAGAGCAACAGAGGGAGAGCTACCCATGTGCACTAGAGGAGAGGTAGAAATGAGGCCCGAGGAGAGTCCCACGGATGGCCTGGAAGAGGAACAGGGGGGTCAGGAGGGAGAGATCAAGGAGAGAATGGGATTCTTGTCAGGCACTCCCAGGACTCATGAAGGTGAGGACTGCAGAGGAGTCCCTGGATCAGGCACCTGGGATGCCCTGAGTAACCACCAACATAGTGGTACTTTAAGGAAAGTAGTGGAAACAAGCTAACCTGACTAGCCAATCAGTGAGCTCCAAGATCATCGAGAGAGCCTGTCTCAAACAATAAGGGGAGGAGCACTAGAAGAAAACACCCAGCATCCATCTGGCCTCTACATGTACACATGTATCTGAGCATGCACACACATTTACACACAAGATTTCCCTTGAATCTTGGCCCACATCTTCTATTTCAAAGTCCTCAAGTTCTACAATATTTTAATCACTGAATTCTCTACAGTGGTCCTTTGGTCCGGTTTTTGAGATAGTCTTACTATGTAGCTCAGGTTGACTTCCAGATGCTGGGATTACCAGCATGCACCACTGTGCTAAACTTTGATGAATCTTCCTATGTTGAGTTTTACTTTTCTTTTCAAAAGCCAGTTCTCCTTCCCCTCTGTTTTTAGCTTCCTTTGCTAGGCTCTTCGTAACTTGAGGTTTGTTTGAGTGTGCCTTTAGGTCAAAAGATGCCCTCCATCCAAGAAGAGAACCCAGTCCATACAAGGAAGAGGCAGGAGCAAAAGGTGATGGTGTCCTGAGATAGATGTGCTGTCTTGTTTTTGTTGGAGAACTCCATTCAGCTTGGCAGAAAAGAAGCAGAGAGAGCTCTGGGGAATGAGGGGATAGCAGCTGAAGCCACCTGATGTGGGCACTGGGGTTGTGGGTCCTCTGGAACCGCAGGAAGTATTCTTAACCATAGAGCCACCTCTCCATGTTTCTTAACATGCCCTCCTGGTCTTGCTTAGTTAAGTATCTCCATGGGCTGAAATGGGTCATACAGACTCCACTGTAAAACCTTCGTAAGGATGGGAAGCAACTTACGGGATTGGGCCCGGTACTACCTGTCTATGAAGGAGAGCAGGCCGTGCCCTGACAGCTGCCCAGGGAAGACAAGTTAGTTTTGTGGCGCCCGGGCTCTTCCACCTGCTGCCATAGGCTGGCAGGTTCAGCCCGTCTGCTCCTCTCTACTGTGTGATCTGTAAGTCCTTTACTGTGATGAGCATCTGTGGCTATAAATAGATACAAAAGTGCACCCCTCCCAGGCAACTCAGAGGGTTCCATGACATGATGGGTGTGGGGCAGCATCCAACATGACCATTTGCTGCTGTGGCTACTGCCATCCTTGCACCTGTGACTTGACACCCCTCATGGCTGTTTCTTACCTGCAGGTTAAGCCATGATTTTGTGACACCAGCTGTGAGCAGACTGGAGCCATCTTTGGTGAAACCAACCCCAGGCATGACACCAAGGTTTGATTCCAGGTGAGTACCAAGAGCAGCCCTTGGATTGGGTGTAGCCCCTCTGTGAACAGCACTGGGAGTATAGGTGATGCTCCTGGGCTGAGCTTCCCACCATTGGCCCCACCCCGACACCACTTTCAGTTCCTTCCCTGATGAGAAGGGGAGCACAGTGATGACTCGAAGGCCTGTGCTTTTAGCCTTCTCTGATTCTGGTCAGATGGCATTGGAAGCTGAGTAGTACCTTTCCCGAAGCCAACATGACAAGACTGTTGTTAACAAAAGCCAACAGAGAATGGTGTGTGTCCCAGGGTGGAGCTCACAGTCAGCAGTTCTCTAGGCAGCCTCAGGTGAACTGCATAGTCCTGTTGCTCTTTTTTTTTTTTTTTTTTGGTTTTGGTTTTGGTTTTTTCAAGACAGGGTTTCTCTGTATTGTTTTTATTGTTTTGGAGACTGTCCTGGAACTCGCTCTGTAGACCAAGCTGGCCTCGAACTCACAGAGATCCGCCTGCCTCTGCCTCCTGAGTGCTGGGATTAAAGGCATGCGCCACCAACGCCCGGCTCCTGTTGCTCTTGTACATTAGAAAAACAAGGGATTAAGGCCAGTAACTTCTAGGGAGTGGAACAAGAAGTGGCTGTCTCAGATGAAGGAGACTTTCCACTTTTTCTATTATTTATTTATTTTTGGTTTTTCAAGACAGGGTTTCTATGTGTAACAGCCCTGGCTGACCTGGAACTTGCTCTGTAGGCCAGGCTGGCCTTGAACTCACAGAGATCCGCCTGCCTCAGCCTCTCGAATGCTGAGGTTAAAGGTGTGTGCTACCACCACCTGGTGATTTGTATTCCACTGGTTCTAGTGACATCTACTTAATTTGAAAGAAATACATAATGGAGTTCTGTGTAGAGAAGGCTGGTCTCAGGGATTAGTGTCATGTCTCAGAATCACCATCCTTTGACCCTGAAGAGTTCCTTGGGATAAAAGTATTTAGCTGCTCTTGGAAGCACAGGAACCAGTGTGTTTCTGGTTCTGTGGATGGGTGCCTTCAGTTTGCATGGGTACGAGTTGACTTTTGCTGGATGTATGTTTGATAATTGCAGCCTCCTTTCTCCAGCTGTGTTTAGTCATTACAGCTTGAAAAATGTTTTCCCTAAATTTAGAATTTGCCTTCTTAGGAATGTGTGATTTGAAAACTACAGCTTGCAACCAGATGGGGTTGGAAGGGCTTATTGTGAGGATGTCATTATTCAGTCTGCCAGGCCATCTTCACAGAGTTCTTCAACTTTTAGGGTTTTCAAGACCCCAGGTCTGCGCACTCCAGCAGCCAGAGAGCAGATTTACAACATCTCGATCAATGGCAGCCCCCTTGCTGACAGCAAAGATATCTCCCTCACTGTGCCTGTGGGTGGTGGTGCGGTAAGTGGCACCCTGGGAAGCCAGGCCCCAGAATTCTGCAGTGTGCTTTCCCGTGAGTTGTCCCCACACTTGCTCCAGAGACTCTGAAGAGTCCCTTTAGTGGGTGGATCCTAGTTACCACACTGCCGGAGTCAAAGCCCAGCTGGGAGGACCCATGCCCAACCCTGGGTTCCGTCTGTCCCTCAGCTGTCTTCTGCTGTCCTTGAGAAACAGTGGGTTTGGAATGCTACTATCTGTGGCATGTACAGTGATGGCTATTAGAGGAACGCAGAGGAAGGCACATTTGGGGTCTTGAGAGATTCTGGAACAGGCTGCTGGGTTTCTCAGTGCTGCACAGAGCAGGTTGCCAGCCTGCGTGGAGGGGAGGGAGACTGAACGAAGATTTGGTCTGTTTGGCATTGTACTTGTGTAGCCCAACCAGTGGTCCACTGATAGCATCGTCTCCTGAGGTCTAACATGCTGCCTACGTCATCATTTCTCCATCCTAGCTGTCTTCTGTCATCACAAGAATGTCAAGGGGACCCTGGGTACACTGGCTGCTGGTAACGGTTCCAGTCTGGAAGAACATGCCATTTAACCCTTTCTCCTTCCATACAGAGCTTGCGGCTCCTGGCCAGTGACTTGCAGAGGATTGATATTGCTCAGCTGAATCCAGAGGCCCTAGGAAACATTAAGAAGCTCTCGGTGAGTCCTAAGTTCATCCCCATGTGGAGGAGCTTGCCCTTGACACTGGCCTTTGTGGGGCTATGCAGAGCATAGACCAGCTCTTTCTTTACTGTTCCACTGTCAACACTATTCCCTTTTCTTAGTTTAAATGCTCAAGAGGAATAGCCCAGTCAGCCGTGCTTTGGTGTGGGCAGGAGCTTGGGGTACAGGCGCTGCTGAAGGCCCACTCTGTATATCAGGAATAGGCAAGCTCAAGCTGGGATCCTAAGTAAATAAGTGCTAGGGTCTCATAGACACTGGCAGTCATCCCCCAGCATCACTGTCTCACTTAAGAAACGAGTCTCTCGTCTCTATTTGTATTAATAAAGAGCAGAAGAAAGAGGCAGCAGATCTAGGCCTGGGAAGCTGAGCGCGGCTCAGTGATTAGGAGCGCTTGCTCTTGCAGAGGATCCGGGTTTGGCTCCCAGCACACATGGCAGTTCACAGCATCTGTAACTGCAGTTCCTGGGGACCCCCGTGCCCTCTTCTGGCCTCCTTAGACACTAGACACATTGACACACACAAAATAAAATAAATCAATCTTTAAAAGCAATCCTGTGCTTGGGTAGACCAAGAGCTGCAGGCTGGCGTGCCAGGCACGTCTTGAAATAACCTCTCTTTCTTTAGAGCCGCCTTGCCCAGATCTGCAGCAGCATACGGACCGGCAAATGAGAAGATGGCAGCGGGGACTGTGGTGGCAGAGCAGGCACATCTGTCCTCTTCCCCTCATCCTGTGCGGTGCTGGATATAGTTTCCCCTGCTGACACGAGGCATGGTGCTTTCTCTCTGTCTCTGTTTAAAAGACCACGTGCTGGTTTGACAGCTCTGGTGCCTTGCTGTGCACTCTAGTTATTTGGATAGGGAGCACAGGCCTAGTCAGGGCTGTGTGTACCTGGTGCAGAGTGACTGAGCTGTCTGGTCTCTGGTCCCACCAGGTCTGTAGACTGCTTGGATCATTGTCCTGGAGGGCTCACCAGAAGTGCACAGGAGGCTGTTATAGTCTTGTGATTTCAGTCCTCTGCAGGTGGGAGTGTTTCAGGGGGTTTCTACTGCTGAGGCTTTCATCCCTGTTGTCTTCGGAGCAGTGGCATTTCAGCTGATTTGCCCTACTGAAAGATTGCTGTTTTCAATAAATCTTGGTTTGCTTTGGTTTTTAAATCAGTACTCAGCCTGCCTGTTGTCTCCAGCTGTGCTGCATTCCCCGGGTGGGGGTGGGGGCAGCTCCTGGAGTGGACAACCCTGGACAGCTGCCTCCTCAGAAGTATGAACACCTTTCCTATGGGCAAAAGCACTGACCTCCAAAAGGGACTCCAAGATCCAGGCTGTGGTCACTCACAGCTGTGCTCCCCACATGTTTTCCCAGGAGCTAAGGAGGAGGAACTGAAAGACATCCAAGTAAACCAGTGTGGGGCTTGGCCAGGAGTTACAGGGCCACCATCCTGCTTCCTGCTCATTCACAGTTCTGGGGCTCTGGCAGGGCCCTGCCTTCCTCCAGTTCTCCACACTGGTGAACTGCATGCAGTGCTGGCGGCAGAAGACCGGGAAAGAACTGGAGTCGTTTGTTGCTGGGCTTGCTGGGTGTGCACTTAATAGAGACGCTGCCTCTGGCCAGTGGTGGGATTTGGAAGAGAGAAGCAACAGCCTATGATTAACCCCACCTGAGGCTTCCATCTCTCAGACAATGTTGAGCCTGCCCCAGGGATCCAGTAGAAGTCCACACTACCCAGAATCAGGTCTACTTTGGTGGCCTCCATTTCCAACCCTGGCAGGATAAACTCGCTTGAACAAAACGCAAAGTACACATGAGGTGTTTCAGTTATACTAGTCCTCCTAAGGAAGGGACTGTCTTGGAAGGTTGAGCTCCCTATCCCAGTGTTTCAAAGAATGGGCTGGATAATGTCAAACAATGGCACCCTCGGTGTTTGGGTTAGTTTGGCGGTAATTTTGCTTTTCTGATTATATTTCTATGTATATGAATACTGTGTATATGTCTGTGCACCGTATGCTGGCAATGCCCTCAGATCCTCTGAGACCAGCTGCCATGTGGGTGCTGGATATTGAACCCTCGTCCTTTAGGAGAGTAGCCAGTGCTCTTAATCACTTGAGTTGTAAACCCAGTCACCTGAATGACTTGTTTAAAAACAGGAAGATACCACAAAGTAGACTCCAGAAATAAGGTATGGTAGTCTAGACCAACCAGCCAGAGGGGAGGCATGGTTTTCTAGTTCAAAGCACTCCCAAAGGTGACCTCTTCTGACTTACTTGATTCCTCTGGACATTTTGTACCAGAGCTGCTCAGGATGGAAGGGCAGATGCACTGTGGAGGGCCCCCTTGCTGGACAGATCTACATGTCTTGACTTGAAATGAGGTCACCTGTGAAGTAATTCATCAGTGAGGACATCAAGGCATTGTTCTTTGAATGCCAGAAGCTACTGTTCTCTTAAGGTAATTAAAAGCCCATCTCCAATAATAGGGAAATCCTGTGGCAACACAGGGCTTCCATCTTCAGGGTGTTCCCAGGACCCCTGAAAAGCAAAGCAAAGCCTCCAAAACAATACAGAGAAACCCTGTCTCGCAAAAAAAAAAAAAAAAAAAAAAAAAAGCAAAGCAAATCTCTGTTATAATGTTCACCCTCTAAACCTGCCAACCATTCTACACTATGTGATTGCTGTTGGCCTACACTCAAAATTCAGTGTAACATACTCAAAACAATTTATTAGGTGTGGTGGTACCTGCCTGTAATTGTAGAATGTAAGGGTTAAAGGCAGGGGGATCAGGAGTTCAAGTCACCCTCTGCTACATAGTGAATATGAGGTTAGCTTGGGCTACATAATGCCCTGTCTCAAAAAAAAAATAAAATAAACCACACATCTGGCTTGAGAGGGGAAGGACTGAGACCCAGCTGATCAGGTTGAGTCAGAATTGGGCCCACCACTATCTCCAGCTCGTCCCTGCATTACTTGTGGAGCGCACACTAAATGCCTACATTACTCATTGACATGATAATGCCAAGAACCACCAGAATGGAGGCACAGACTATGGACACACCCCCAAACAAACTGCAAAGGTTGCTTGGATGAACCTCATCCTGACTGCAGAAAATTCAAAAAGTGTGTGAAAGAGTACAGGGGAACCACCTGGGGGTCGGGGACGACAGTCACAATTGAGAAACTAGCTTGGCCTGGATTCTGGGTTTGTCTTACATAAAGTGGTCTTGGTCAAAATATTTCCCCTGCCCACACTTAACATGCTGTAGAAATCTTAAGTCATCCATGACCCCAAATGGCTTCTGATCCTTCTCCGTTGTCTTATGCACTTCAACTTAACTGGCAAAGGGGCACACGCTGTGGTAGGCAGTGCAGTGGGGGGAGGGCAGGAAGGGAGATGCAGTCTGCAGAAATGCATAGGTCGGGCCCTGCGTTACAAGGGCAGTGAACTCACTACTCAGTTTCCCCTGCGAGGACTCCCTGCCCGCCCCCCAGGGGCGTGGAGACTAGGCAAGGAACAGCCCCCTGAGTCCACAGTGCCTAGACTCATGCCTCATTCCTTTTATATCTGGCTGTGCAATAAGCAATTAGATCTTGCGCTTCCAACGTTGGCCACTAGTAGGTGTCTGGTGTCTGATACACACTGGCTGAACGGGAGGCTGCTTCATAAAATCAGGTCAGGCACACTGCCCAGAGAAGACCATTTCAACTCTCAGCCATGTGCTGTATCTCCAGGTCTCCCCCTACTAGAAGTAAGCCTACACCATGTGAGCACCTTGGTACAGCCTAAATTCTTCAGCTCCACCCCATCCTTGTGACTTCTGCACCCCTAAAATTAAGGTCACTGTTAGGAGTTGGTTAATTCCCCCTCAAATTCCTGTGTGGAAATCCTAACCCCAATAGCTGAACATGACTGTATTTGCAGATGGCATTTTTGAAGAAATAATTAAGTTTATTTATTTATTTATTTATTTTTGGGTTTTTTCAAGACAGGGTTTCTCTGTGGCTTTGGAGGCTGTCCTGGAACTCGCTTGGTAGTCCAGGCTGGTCTCGAACTCACAGAGATCCGCCTGCCTCTGCCTCCCGAGTGCTGGGATTAAAGGCGTGCGTCACCAATGCCCGGCCGAAATAATTAAGTTTAAATGAGGCTGTTGGGCTGGGCTGATATGCAGAGAAACTGATGATGGCCATGGTCAAACTCAGGGATGCTCCCCTCGGTCTACAGGAGGAAGCAATACCTTGATCTTGGCCTTCTAGGCCCAGAACTGTGTCGTAATAAGCGCATATATGCACAGCACTCAGTGTATAGCACCCAGTGTGTAGTACTTTGCTACAGTGACCTGGAAGATGCATGTCGTCACTAATGGCATCTCCCAACAGCCCCCACCACTCTGGAGCTGACACCCACAGAAACTCACACTTTGACCTCTCCTTTCTATGATGATATTTATAAATGCGCATTAGTGTTTTTGCCTGTATGTATGTCTGTGTGAGAGTGCCAGATCCTCTGGAATTGGAGTTACAGACAGCTGTGAGCTGCCATGTGAGTGCTGGGATTTGAACCCTGGTCCTCTGGAAGAGCAGCCAGTGTTAGTACTCTTAACCACTAAGCCATCTCTCTAGTGTTCTTAACCCTCTGGCCTCTCCTTCCTACTGCTCCTTGTAGTCTGGCTTCTGTGCTCTTCCATCCAAGTTGCCCTGTAATTCTAAAGATTCTCTAGGACTCCCCTCTACTCTCTGTGCTCCCTGGGTGGCCTCCCTTCCAAGGTGGCTTCAACCTTCCTCCGGGTAATGATGAGCCCAAAGGTCAGTCTCTAGTTCACATCTAAGTCCAGACCTAGATATCTACCTATGTCCTAAATATTCTTCAAGCATCTCACATGCACATCCCAGATCCAACTGGTCATTTCCTGTCGCCAGCTCCCCATCTGCCCAGGCACCGCTTCCCCAGCTCCCCATCTGCCCAGGCACTGCTTCCCCAGGTCCCCATCTGCCCAGGCACCGCTTCCCCAGCTCCCCATCTGCCCAGGTACCGCTTCCCCCAGTACACAACTCCCTTGCTTGACTGGTTTTGTGAGACAGACTTGTGACACCCAGAGCATCCCCTATGCTCCTGGTCCTTGTCCAGTCCCATTTCCTGTGTCTCCACTAGACAGTAGCATTCTTCGTAGCACGAGGGCCTCAGACGCACACACACCCAGGATCTGTGTGCGGAATCTCCACCCACAACTGCTCAGTGGTTTGACAATGCCACACGGATGGACCATAACACAGACAAGTTTTTATTACTTTGTACTGCATATAGAACCCAAGAAATATAAAAAACATCTCCAGAGTTCCTAAAAGGAACCTCCACCCACAACCAGCCCCTCCCTCCCTAGGTGGGTGCATACAGAGCAATATGGGTTCTAGGCCACCTCTCTCTGTCCAGCAAACAAGCTCCATGTATAAAAATAGACCTGTGGAGGGTCCCCAGCGACCCAGCACCCTGTATCATGCTGGTGCCTGTGCAGGGCTGAGGCCTGGGACCCCTCAGGATTCTAGGACCTCACTCCTCATCAGAGGGGAGGTCTACCCTGGACACCGAAGTCCTGCCAGCACAACCAGGGACCCCTCTACAGACAACTGGGAGGAGTTTAACCTTGACAATGACTCATGTGGCTGAAGATAGGGACATGGTTCTGATCACCCAAGGCAGGGCACTGGTCCCCATGAGTCTTGGATGTTGGGCCAGTTTTCCCTGGAGGGAGAATGAAGGAAGAGCCTGTGGGGGCAATCAGTTCCCCCAGTTCTGTCAAAGGTGGCCACAGTACCCCAGTCTACCCCAGCACCCCTGCAGTCACTGAGCCCAGGCAGGTGCCCAGGGAGCAGAGAGCCAGAAGTGAGGCAGGCTCTGACGAGGCTGCTGCTGGCAGGCAGAAAGGCACTGCTGAGAGTCACTGGCCCCACTATGGGGTACGCCCCAAAGATGCTGTGGCTTCCAGCCCCCAGACTGTTAGAGACTCATGCTTGGATTCGGAGCCTGCTGATAACTCCATCCGCCCTAAGGAGAGAACTTCTACCCCTCACGGCCTTATTCAATTCTGACTTAGGCTAAGAAGCCTTCGGGACAACCCTCGGCACATACATGTCGACAGTCCACTCGCCCGGTCTCCCTGTTCCCCGGGAGACTCCCCTCCCAGTCTGATGCCTCCAAAGGTACACTCTTCTGCCAGCCTCTCCACCCCCACCTGCTCTGTCCCAGTCCACGCTACCCCTCTTTGTTACCACAGCAAAAACAGAGAAGGGATCCATCAAGAATGGTGTAGAAAAACGTGGCCCCAGTGGTCCTGTCCACATCCAGAAGCCTTCCTGCCCTCCCAGGGTGGCCTTGATCTCACATTCTCAGAGCTGCCAGGACCCTTGCTCAGTACCACACTCCTTCAAGGGCTCCGTATAGCACACAGGGAGACACTCTACAAAGGGAGCATGGCGTGCAGGGCAGAGCAGCCTGAAGGGACTCACCCAGCGAGGATTCACTGCACAGGGAGGAGTGCCAGTGCCGAGGGGAAGGGCAAGCTCTCTCCAGAGCCAGCCTGCTCCTTGGATTTTGGTCTGGGGTCAACCCTGGCTCTGAGATTGTAGGCTCTGACTTCCCCCTCTATACAGAGGTGTTGGAGCAGCCTGTCAAAACCACTCCCTCCTCTTCTCCACCCTCCAGAATGTAGAGCAGCCCCCACCCCTACCCTTCTGAATCAGTTCCAAAGCAAATGAGACAGACAGGCCCAGGGGGTGGGGGGCACCAGGACCTTGTGTAACCTACTAGGAGGCTGACCCTCATCCAGGCCTGCCAACCCAAGGCAGGAAGTCATCAGCTCTGGAGTCTCTCTGCCTAGGGGTCCAGTCCCTGAGCTCAGTGTCACTTTCCTGCTTGGGCCTGACACCAGGGTTCAGACAGACCTAGCCAAGGCATAGGAAGTAAAGGCTACCACCCACTGGCCCAGAGTCCCATACTCAGGTGCCCAGGCAGCTGTGGCCTCTGCCACAACCAATGGGTCTCTCTCAGGGATCCTTACTGCCTGGCAGGCCAAAAGCTCTCTGGGGAAAGGAGATGCCCACTGATTAGGCCCAATCCCCAGTGAGCATGGAAGACCCAGGGGCCTGAGGCAGCACAACTGGAAGTGGCTGTCTTCTCCAGCCAGCTTTGCCCTTGACACCCTAAACTTCTTCCTACTGTTATCTCTAGGGTCCTCTCCAGGGATCCGAACCTCTTTTTTTAGGACCACTAGGTCAGCAAGGTGTTGAGAGGAAATATGAAATGGGGGGACAATGTGGCACCAACCAGCTCAGGGCCCACTAAGAGTAAGAGAGCACTCACTTCTCCCCCCAGGGGTGTAGCCTGCAGGTCCTTGGGCAGGGCTGAGCCACTCACACCTGCACCCCCTGACCCTGCAGCTGCAGCACTCGAGTCTGCAGGGCGCTGATCCCACTCAGGAGGGCTTCTCGGTGCTCGGTGGAAGAGATTCCCAGGCTCCCCAGGTCCCTGCAAAGAGAGGCAGTCATATCCAGCTGACCCAATCCCTCTCCTTCCCCTTCTCTGGACAGGGAAAGACCCAGAGCCAGGGCAGATAGGGCCTTCCCATCTAGATAGGGGCTCTCCCGGGTTCCCTGAAGCCTGGCCTTGACCTTGGCTCCTTAAACTTACTGGGCAGTCATCTCAGCCACAGCCTCCAGGCTCCCATAGCCTGCTGCAGAGAAGTTGTCCTTGTAACGGCACAGGTCCAGGGCCTCTAGCCAAGCCCCCACAGAACCAAAGGAGGGGAAGGTGGAGAAGGCACGGTCCGCCAGGGGGGTGGGAGGCCTAGGGAACAGAAAGGCCACAGTCAGTTGACAACCAGGGGGTGGCACCAGGCCCGGTCACTCTCTTGAGAAGCAAGAAAGGACAGGGGGAAGGAAAGGCTACCACACCAGGGCTTAATGTGCCTCACATGGAGACACAAAAGGCCCTGAAGAAGTGAGAGGGTCAGCACACTCCAGCGGAGCAAGTAAAAGGCAAAGGTCAGGACATGACTGCCATGCGGTGTGCTGTGCCTGAAGCAGGTGGGGATGTCAGATCCGTCTAGACAATGGGCCGAGCTTCACACCTGAACGGGATGGGGGGCTGGCTGCACGTGGGACACTGGGAGAATCTTTACAGACAAGAGAGGGTTTGGCTGGCTCATCTGGCTTGGGGGTGGGTAGGATGTACCTGAGACAGGTGTTCGCAGCACACTTGGAGGGTTCTGGCTCCTGCCCCATCTTGCTCAGGATGCTGTGGATCTGGGAGAACCTGGGCCGCTCACCTGGGTCTTTCTGCCAGCAGTCAAGCATCAGTCGGTGCAGTGGGGAGGGACAGTTCCTGGGGGGTGGCAGCCGGAAGCCATCCTCCACAGCCTTGATCACCTGGGCTCCAGAGATGGGGAGCAGATAGGATACTTCAGATCGTCCAACAGGCATACACACCCACCACCACCACCACCACCAGCATCCCAAGGAGGACTCTAAACAGGATGGGAGTGGAAGACAGGTCTGGATCAATAGGCAGAGGTCAGGAAGCTGCAGACAAAGGTCACTTACATCTTGTCCAGACATGTCCCAGTAGGGCCGCTCCCCAAAGGCCATCACCTCCCACATGACAATGCCAAAACTCCATACGTCACTAGCAGAGCTGAAGTGGCCAAACTGAATGGTCTCGGGAGCTGCCCAGAGTGCTGGGCTCCGGCCACTCTACAGGGGTTAAGCAAAGCAGGGCAGGAAAGCATTGAGTTTAGCAGCAGGCCACACCCAGTCCCACATCTTCCCCCACCCCCTTTACATCTGAGGCCGCAGTCTGACTGACACGGGGATGGTACCATCCCAGGGGAGGGACCAGGTAGGGAAGGACCACCAGCAGGAGGGAAGGAGGCAGAGCAGAGATATGGAGACCAAGGGACTGCTGGGTGTGGCCAGCAGGAGAAGCAGCAGGTGGAACCAGAGAAGGGAGTTCCTTACCATGGTGGTGTAGACAGCTTCAGCTCGGTCCCGGGGACCCCGCCCAAAGCCGGAGATCTTACAGATGAGGCCGCTGCTGACCAGCACCCGGCGGGCAGCCAGGCCCCGGTGCACATAGCCCATCTCTGACAGATACTTCATGGCTGATGCCAGCCCAGGCAGCAGACCCATCAACTGTGTAGCCATCAGCTCCCCCTCGTGATGCTGTGGAATGGGTAAGGACTGAAATCATGGCCCCACACTCAGATCACCCAGGAAGCCACTAAGTCCCTCTGGGAGTCGGTGTAGCACAAACAGCAGGTCAGCCTGCCCCGTGGGAGCAATGTCAATCCCAAGCCCCAAGAGAAAAGGGAAGGGGCAAGAAAAACATGACATTGGTACTCTGCCACCCAGGGCTCCTGTCACTCACCCTGAGGAAGTCATCAAGGGCCCCGAGGTTCATGTACTCAGTAACAATCATCAAGGGTTTTCCTGTGCCAGGGATGAAGACACACTAAGTTTCTGCCTTTACCTATGTACATAATCCCCCCCACCAGTTCCACCTCAACCAAGACAGCCAGCCCCTTAATCCCACCCACCCCCATCTACCACTCTGGTGCTGAGGTACAAAAAGTCAACTGTCCATAGTGGGACAGAGGCCCATGTCAGAGCTGCAAAGAGTCAGCTGAGAAAGATCACTCAAACAGAAAGTGATCCACTCCCCAGATGTCACTGCACAGTGGAAAGGTCATTCTGGGTCAGCATGACCACTCCAAGAGAGGGGCTACCCTGAGTCACTGAAGAGAAAGTGAACTAACGTTGTGCCTGAGTCCACCCCATACCCTAGAAGGGGAGCCTACCCAGAACCCGGCAAAGTACAGGCATGTGCAGTGACAGGCCTACCTCGGGTGACAACGCCTTCCAGCCGCACAATGTGACTGTGGTCAAACTGCCCCAGGGTGAGGGCCTCAGCCAGGAAGCTGAGCCTCTGGGAGTCAGAGCACCCATCCCTCAGAGTGTGCACTGCCACGGGCAGCCCCTGGCGACCAGGCAGCTGCAGGCAGCCACAGCACAGGTCCCCAAATCGGCCTGTGAAGAAACAGCACCTCAGAGTCCCGCCAGCAAATGGGGTAGGCTGGACCAAAGAGGAGGTGACTCTGGGTTATGGGTCATTTCCAGCTTGCTGTGGGAAGTTCCAGAGTTCCAATCCTAGCATGCTGAGTACCAGCAGTGTCACCTTGGGCTTCATCTCCTTCCTCTTGGCCTTAGTTTCCTTCTCTGTGACAGAGAGACAGTAACTTTGCACGTTCCTACCCATCAAAGGTCCTTGAACCCAGCAAAGCCAAGGACAGATGACATGAGACTATTGTGCCCTACGAGTTCCTTCCTGACTTCTGTTGATGAAGGTTCCAGGGCGAGGCCTGCTTCTTGGTAACTGACAATTGTGAACAGCCAAGAGGAGAAGGATGCTCAGAACCAGCAAGGCCCTGCCCTTTGCCTGCAGAGTTCCCACTACAACCCTCAGGGTGGCGATGCCACGCCTCTTTTGGGAGTGAGAAACTGAGGCTCACAGATGAGCCTCTAGCTCAGCTAATCCAGGTGAGTCTGACCCGCCCCTTGCTGTAAAGACCCCTCCCCGCCGTCACATAAAAGCCTGGGGACTAAAATGAGCCTTTCGGGAAAGTATCTGAGAAAGAACCTGAATGCAGGTGTACCACGGAGACCTAAGGAACAGAGGAGAGAAGGCAGAGCCAAGATCACCTCTAGTGGGCGCGGGACTTTCTGGGAAAGGGTACCCTCGGCGCAGAGGCGGGGCTTCCGGCCATGGGGTGGGGACTGGAGGGGGAAGCGGGCTGAAGAGAGGTGGGTGTAGCCGAGGCGCAGGGCTTTCCCCAGTGGGTGTTGCCTGGTGGGTGGGGTTTATCCAGTGGGCGGAGCTCCCTGATGAATCCAGACTTCTAGGGTCCAGGGCTTGCCTGCTCCCAAGCTCTTCTCCAGGGTGACGCTTTTGGCATCTAGCTCCTTGGCGAATAGATGCACAGCCTGCAGTGGGTCCCCGCAGCTCTGGGGATCCAGAAATGTGCGTCGTGTCGGGACTTTGACTGAGAACAGATAGAGAGAAAGACTGAGGGAAGAGGTCCCATTGCTGGGGTAACAGAAGGTGGCAGCTGGGAAGGGGCTGAAGACAGAGGTGTGTGTAACAGAGACAACTCACAGTGGAAATACAGTTCCTCTTCGTCGTGGGCGTCCCCACTTCCTTTGCCGTTGCAGGGCCTGTGGGGACGCAGAGGCACCTTCATCAGGCCACCCCAGCCCTTCCCACTTCACCAACACCAAGGGCAGCACCTCTTGGTCCCTTCAGGAAGAAAAGCTCTGTCTGTGCCCTTCTGGGGAGGGACTTTCTCGTCCTCTGGTTGGGAGGCTTCTTCTCGTTTTAAACTAGTTTATTTTCAGATTTATTCAGAGGACAAGTTTCAAAAGTTGGTCCTCTCCTTCCACCTTGTGGCTTCTTGCCATCAGCTCCATGGCACGTACCTGTAGCCACTAACTAAGCCATCTTTGGTTTGGTTTGGTTTGGTTTTTCAAGACAGGGTTTCTATGTTCAGTTTCGGCTGTCCTGGAACTCTCTCTGTAGACTAGACTGGCCTCAAACTCACAGAGATCCACCTGCCTCTGCCTCCCGAGTGCTGAGATTAAAGATATGCACAACCATACCCAGCTCACTAAGACATCTTACAACCCTAACCCCTTTTTCTTTTTTTAAAAAAACATTGGACTCTTTTTGAAATTGCATCTCTCTCTCTCTCTGTCCTCACTAAAAGTTTCTTTTTTCTTCCCTCCTCCTCCCTTCTTTTCCCTCCCCTTCTTTCTTCACTTTATGCTGCCTCAGTTGCTCCTTTGTGGTTTTCAGGCCAACAGCCTTCTCCCCTCAGAACATGGACAACCCTAAGCCCAGATTGCTGGCCTTTCAATTTCATCACCATTCCTGGTGTTTCTGTTTTGAGATAAACTCCAGAGGTGTGCGAGCCTACACTCCTGGCACAAAGCCCTGTGCTACCCTGTGAGGAATAACAGGTTGATCCATCCTGATCCAGAGGCAAAGCCCACAGCAGTCTGGATCTGGCACCTGAGGCAGGCTTTCCTAGCTCCTTGAAGACTCTGGCTTTTGTTTTGGGAGCAAAGGAAGGCACCGGAAGACCTTGAGCAGGGAAGTGCCCTGATTCAGTTTATGTTTTATATGATTTTTTTTCAACTTGCATTGGAGAAAGAAAATCCTGGCTGCCACTCTAGGGTCCCCTCAGGAGATGGCAGTAGCTTGACCTAAGGGCTGCCCAATCTTGGACGGAGGTAAGAGAAATGTGGAGGAACAAGAATACGACAGGACTGTAGGGCTTGAAGATTGCAGGTAGTGGGAAGGAAGAGTGAAGAGTTGCCCAGAGAGCTCATGGAGAGCCACTGCCAAGCAGAGCAAGGGAAGTTCAGGCTCAGACATATGAGCTCCCGGGTGGTGGGAGATGCAGGGGAATCTACGGGGAGGCAGTCTGGTGGATGTTTCTCAAGCTTGGAAGGTAGATCTGCTCTGAAAATACAAACGCATGAACTGTGAATTTTGCCCAGGAAGATGAGGGCGCCTGAAAGGAGGTACTGAGAATAATTAGGCTGGATTGGGGGAAGAAAGCTGCAGAAGAGGATAAGAAATAAAAGGCGATAGGAGAGGAGGTGTCATAGGAACCAAGGAAGGAGAAAGCAGTGATGGAGATGACACAGGGTCTATGAAGACAGGACAAAAGGTTGGGGAACAGTTTGCAAAGGGGAGATGTCACAGGAGATAGTGACATGAAAGGACTCTGATTCATGCCCTTTACGATTTGACTGTGTGCTCTTGCGTTCAAGCATTCCCCCACGCTGAGGCTGTGGGAATGGGTGGCTTGGCTTTGGCTTTTCCCTGTAATAAAATCATGATAAAGACAGCCCTGCCTAACAGCGTCATGGTAATAAGGAGCTTATTGTTATAATGTGGATTTTTTTTTTGGTTTTTCAAGACAGGGTTTCTTTGTGGCTTTGGAAGCTGTCCTGGAACTCGCTCTATAGACCAGGTTGGTCTCAACCAGGCTGGTCTTGAACTCACAGAGGTCCTCCTACCTCTGCCTCCCGAGTGCTGGGATTAAAGGCGTGCACCACCACCACCACCCAGCTATAATATGTATTTTTAAAAAGATTTATTTATTTATTATGTATACAGTGTTCTGACTGCATGTGTGCCTGCAGGCCCGAAAAGGGCACCAGATCTCATTACAGATGGTTGTGAGCCACAATGTGGTTGCTGGGAATTGAACTCAGGTTAAGGGCAGCCAGTAATCTTAACCTCTGAGCCATCTCTCCAGCCCCATAATGTGGATTTTTTATTTCTGTTCTTTTTTGTTGTTGTTTTGAGACAGGGCTTCACTGTGTAGTCCTGGCAGCCTTGCAGCTCACTATGTAGAGCAGGTGGACCTCAAAGGTGTGTATCACCACATCCTGCCTGTAGTGTGGATCTGGACTGTCTCTCACAGGCTTAAGTGATAAATGACTTGGTTCATAGCCCAGGATGATGAAAGGAGGTGATGGACCTTTGGAAGGTGTGGTCTTGGAGAAGGAAGTTGGGTCACTATGGCACATCCTTTAGGAGAATACTGTGATCTCAGTCCCTTCCTGATTTTCTGCTTCCTGGCTGCCGATGAGGTAATCATCTGTTTCTGCTACAAGCTCCCACCATGATGACTTACCACCCATAGGACCAAGGCCAAGTGGTCATAGACCAAACTTTTGAAATTTTGTGAGCCCCGAAAACCTTTTTCTTATAAGCTGACTATCTTGTACATTTTGTCACAGCAACAGATGACTAACACACTTACTAAGCCTCAGAGTGTCATGGTTTGGATGAGAATGATCCCCATATTCTCATATATTTAAATATTTGGACCCAGTTAGTAGAATAGTTTGGAAAGGATCAAGGATATGTGGCCTTGTTGGAGTGGGTGTGGCCTTTTTGGAGGAGGTATGTCAGTGGTGGAGGAGATTTGAGATTTCAAAAGCCAATTCTCAGTTTTCTCTCTCTCTGTCTCTCTCTCTCTGTCTCTCCCCCCTCCCTCTGTCTCTCTCTCTCTTGTCTCTCTCTGTGTGGTGTGTGTAGTGTGTGTGTGTGGTTTGTGTGAGAGTGTGTGTGTGTGAGTGTGTGTGTGGTGTGTGTGAGAGTGTGTGTGTGTGAGTGTGTGTGGTGTGTGTGAGTGTGGTGTGTGTGAGTGTGGTGTGTGTATGTGTGTGTGTGTGTGAATCAGATGTAAGCCCCCAGCTTTTGCTCCATAGCATGCCTGCCTCCTGCTGTGCTCCCCACTATGATGATCATGGACTCTTTCTTCTAAGTTGCCTTGTGTGGCAGTTTAAAAGAAAATGGCTAGGGCTGGAGAGATGGCTCAGCAGTTAAGAGCACTGACTGCTTTTCCAGAGGACCTATGTTCAATTCCCAGCACCCACATGGCATCTTATAACTGTCTGTAAGTCCAAGATCTGATGGCCTCACACAGATGTACATGCAGGCAAAACACCAACGCACATTAAAAAAGAAAAGAAAATGACCCACATAGGCTCACAGAAAGCAACTCTTTTAGGAGGTGTGTCCTTGCTGGAGTAGGTGTGGCTTTGTTGGAGGAAGTATGCCACTAGGGTGGTGGGCTTTGAGTCTCAGAAACTCAAGCCTGCCTAGGGACTCAGTCACTTCCTGCTGCCAGCAGACCCAGATGTAGAACTCTCAGCTACCTCTGCAGCACCATGTCTGCCTGCCTGCATGTGGCCATGCTTCCCACCATTGCATGTGACCATGCTTCCCACCACTGCATGGGACCATGCTTCCCACCACTGCATGTGGCCATGCTCCCACCACTGCATGGGGCCATGCTTTCCACCACAATGACAATGGACTAAATCTCTGAATGGCAAGTCAGCCTCCATTAAATGTTTTTCTTCTGTAAGAGTTGTTGTGGTCATAATGTCTCTTCACAGTAATAAAACCCTAACTAAGACCCCTTGGTCATGGGATAGAAAAGTAACTAAGACACAGTGCTCTTGTGGGGGGAAGAAAGGGGCATTATGAGTAGTGATGTGTTCCTGAGGCAGTTGGAGGGGCTGGAGCTCCATTCTGAGTAGCCAGGCTCATCCTGCTAAGAGGAAGTTTCCTTCTCTAGAGCAAAGAAATGAGCATGAGACATTGAGGGGCCATCGATGATGCTGGAGAGTAGGGCCACAGACATGGCTGACAGAGCAAGGGACAAGGACAGGGCCTTGGCAGGCACAAGTAGAACTGTGTTATGCACCTGACGGTAGAGCATTCCCAAAGGGAATGCCTGGAGGGCTATGACAGAAGAGAGGAATTTAGGAATAGAATCCTGAGAAACCAAGAGGCCAGGCTGGTCCCACAGTGGCTGCTCAAGTCACCTACAGTGATGAGTGATGGGACTCTAACACATGACAGGAAACATCCAGAAGAGAGAAGAAGAGATGAGGGAAGGCTGAGTGGATGCAAGAGTGACAGGGGAACCAGAACCAAAAACTATGTGATGCGAGAGATTTGCTCTCACTGACGCTGCAAGATGCGCATAAAGTTAAACCTTGAAGCAAAGGCTTGCTTCTGGCTGACCAGATTTAGCCGTAGAGGTTCTGGAGCACTGAGGTCAGGGAGGCCACAGGAAGTAGTAGAGAGGGTCTTAGAAAGATGCGAGGTCTTTTCTCTCTGGAAGTGTGGAGGGCCAGGGTCAGCTGATCATTCCTCTGTTGCTCTTTGGGTCTATCTGGTTTTTACCCCAATATCTGACTTCTAAGCTTTGTTCAGCAATAGAGCAATATAAGTAATCATTTTAACCACGAAACAAAGTCTATATGAAAATGTTACAGTGAGGGCTGGGGAGATGGCTTAGTCCACTTCCAGAGGCCTGGTGTTCAGTTTCCAGCACCCACATTAGGTGGCTCCCAACTGCCTGTAACTAGCTCCAAAGGATCTGATGTCCTCTCCTGGTCTCCAGGGACATGTGCTCCCAAGAGTGCATACACGCACACATGGGCCATCAATCTCACACATACACACAAACAAAAATACGCCTTTAAAAAGAAAACCTTGTAATTAAATCCATTACTTAGTATGGCAATTTGCTTCTTGGTTCTCCCCACTGAAGGGCAGTTTGGCTTGAGATCTACAGCTGTCTCCCCGACCTGCTCCAGTACACCTGTCTGCTCCTGCCTCCACAGCCCTGATAGTTAAAACCAGGATGAGATGCTCCCTGTAGCTGCCCATCTGCCCAGAACATGGATGGACCTAAAGTTAAGCTCCATAAGGAAGGAGTTCCCTGCTCTTGTCCTGTTTTTGAGATAGGGTCTCTCTACTGTGCCTTGCTATGGCTGTCCTGGAGCTGTCTATGTAGACCCAGACTGGCCTTGAACTCACAGAGATCCACCTCCCTCTGCCTCTTGAAGGCTGGGATTAAAGGTGTATGCTACTAAGACCAGCCCATCCTGTCTACTTGATCTACCTTACCTAGGACAGTCTCTCTCCTCCTTCTCTTCCAGTGCTTTGGTCAAGACCATACAAATAGCCAGTGTCAAAGACGCGCTCACTGTCCCTCTGGCTCTCAGGTGGCTCAGACTGTTGAGATGTGGGTCCTCAGCCAGCCAATTGTCCTCTCCACCCAATTCCAACCCACTAGCTCTACGGCAGCCCCAGACTGTGACTGCTGGGACCTCTGGGTATAGCAGGATGCTCCTGGGAGGGGTGGAGGTGCACCCAGCTGAAGCCTCTGCTTTGTCCAAAAGAAATGAAATTTTCTTTCAGTCAGACCCGACCAGGCTCCAGCCCTGTCTCCCCCCACCCTTTCTCTGCCTGCAAGCTTCTGTGTGGGGAGGGACATGGCTCAGATTGATGTTTCCCTACCTGCCCCTCTCTCTCCCACCCAAGTACTGACTTTTTCCTCTTAGCTTGTGTTCAAGGGGCTCCAGATTCCCTGGGGGCCAGAGCTGGGGGCCTCCGAGTGCCTCTGGGAGAATCCTAATCACACCCGAGCAGCTGGAGCTTGACTCCATCCTCAGTGATGCCTCCTGACATTTAATGAGTTAAGGAGCTAAATCCCCTTCATCCCAGCACGGCTGAGCTAGCTGCAGTGCCTGCAGCTGGTGCCTGAGCGGCCGTGGGGGAGGGGCCGTACTCACCACACTAGTATCTTTTTTGAAGGGAGGGGAAAGCAAGACAAGGGTCTCCTGTAGCGCAGGCTGGCTTCAAATTCTATACGTAGCTGAAGTAGGGCTTGAACCCCTGACCCTCCTGCCTCAACCTCCTAAGTGCTGGAGTTGTGGGAGTTTGTGTTCCCAGGTGGCTTTGGGATCTATGTAGCAGTGTGCTCGAGTCCGTAAACTTGCCTGTGTGTGTGTGTGTGTGTGTGTGTCTGTGTGTCTGTGTGTCTGTGTGTCTGTGTGTCTGTGTGTGTTGGTAGGGGTGGGGTTGGCAGGTGCACTGATAGGTACTTGCATGTACATAGTTTATATACAGAACCCACCAGAGGTCACCAGGATGAAACCAACTACCTACCTCCTCCAGATGGCCAGCACACTCATCACAGAGCCCAGGACCAGGAGGGCTGAGATGGTCACAACAGTGACAACCACTGCGGGGCTCTGGTCTCTGGAACCTGAGGCAACTAGGGAAAAACAAAACAAAACAGGGGACTGAGGCAGGCGGAGGACTAGGCTCCTGGGCAAGCACCAAGACAGGCTTTTGTCTCAGCCACTAGGAAGATCCCTCAGCCCCTCGGCACACAGTAGCACCAATGCCCACAGTGGCAATTGGAGTGCCAGACACCTCTCTCTGCAGGCAGGGCCTCTCTGTCACAGGCCTGCTCTGAGAGGAGGCAAGAGTCCAAGCAGCTGGGGCTGGCCTCCCCTTATGCCTTTCAAGGGGGCAGAGACTTCCAGAAACTCTGCGGGGTCACAGCCTCTGTTCGGAGTTCCTTTCCCAACATAGAGTATCTGCCAGCAGCAGGAAGTTAACTTTGACACAGCAGTGTCTGAGGCAGGCTGCTTGTGCCTGAACTACATAGCCCTGTTTCACATAGCAGCCCTGCAAGGGCTACTGTCTCTAGTTCAAGAGGAGGATATGGGTTCAAGAAAGCTACCTAAGTTGTCCAAAATCACGTAGCTAGCTCCCAAGTGACAAACACAGGATTCTAACGGGTTTTGTTTTATTTCTGAAATGGAGTATCATGTAGCCTTGGATGTCCTCCAACTCATGTAGGCAAAGATGACTTCAAACTTGTGGCCCTTCCGCCTCCACTTTCCAAGTGCTGAGATTACAGTCACATGCCACTGTCGCCAGGTGAACCTGAGATTGGAAACTGTCCCCCAAACCCTCTGAATCCCAATCTGACTAAAGAAGTGCACAGGTCCAGATGGAGACACAAAACTAAGTAAGTGAACAAACAGTACTTAGAGAGAGAGAGAGAGAGAGAGAGAGAGACAGAGAGACAGAGACAGAGACAGAGACAGAGAGAGAGACAGACAGAGACAGAGACAGAGACAGAGACAGAGACAGAGACAGAGACAGAGACAGAGAGAGCGACACTTCCTTTTTGGCATCCCTGAGGAAGCTGGGGCCTGGAGCACTGAAAGACTAGGCCCTGATGTACAAGTGGGGCCTGGGAAACAGCAAGCAGCCCACAAAACCGGACGCTACGCTGTCCAGAGGCAGAGCATAGTGGGGTGGAAGCTGAGTCGGGGGGGAGCTTAGAGAGGCATAACTAGAGATGCCGGGTAAGGAGAAAGAATTCCCTGAGGCTCACAAGGGTTCCTGCCTGGCTGGAGAGGAAAGGACACAGGCAGCCTGTGGAGCTGGAGTGGAGGCTGTGAGGATGGAGAGGAAGGGACTGAGGAAGGAAGGGTTCAGAATGACTGTTAGGGAGGGGAAGGACTGGACCTAACGGAGTAGAAAGATGGCTGGCTGTAGCAGCTTGTGGGTGAGGAAGGAGGAGGAGAACGGCTCGAGCCTGCAGACCATGCCAACGTGGCAGGCACACAGGGCGTGGTGAGGTGGGCTTTGGCTGAGATGGCTTCGTCCATGCCTTTTCTGCTCTCTTGTTCAAACAGACCCCAGCCTTAAGGCACAGCTCTAATCTAGCCTTGCCAGCACCTGCCCCGAGGCCAAGCACAGAAGGATCTCCAGCGTTCTGTCTGCCCTCCCAGAATTGTCTCCCCCCCATGTGTTATCTTCACCTTCACCTCCTCTGGGGTCCCAGCATTGCCTGTCTTGGATTAGAGTCATGTAGCAGGTTGGGGAGAACTCTTATCTTGACAGCTGGTGCCAGAATGCCTCTTAGGGGGAGCTGCCTTTGTTGGGGAAAATACTTCCATGAACTGCTCAGGGTAGATAGAGGTGGGATCCTCAGGGCTGGGGCCCAAGCAGCTGAGCAACAAGAGGGAGATGCTGGTGCTCACACCGAGAGGGGGTGGGGAGGGAAGGGGAGGCAGGGGAGGGAAGGGCGGAGGCAAGCACATCACCAGGAAGGGACCATTTCACGATCCCGGATTTCAAGTTCAGCTTGAAAAAAAGTTCGTTAGAACTTTTGAGATGTAATTTATACACCTCTCACTTCTCCCCACTTCCTCCTCTCCCCACTTCCTCCTCTCCTCCCTCTCCCCTTCCTTCCTCCCTCCCTTCCTTCTTTCTTGTTTCTTGAGCCAGGGTTTCACATAGCCCAGGCTGGCCTCAAACTCTTGGTTTCCCTTCCCTTCCCTCCCAAGTGCTGGGATTATAAATCAGCACCACCAGCTCAGCTACTTCTTTATGCCACCCAGGCTGACCTTGAACTCTGTGTAGGGGTACTTGGCCATGAACACTTTTGATCTCCCGATCTCAAGCCTTACAAGTGCCCAGATTACTGCCTTGTTCCACCTCATCCAGCCTGTGTTCGCTCCACTTGAAATGTGCAGGGCTCACTTTGATCGATCCCTTCCAGGTCCCCTCCCCTTCAGGGAAATTGGCTTTCACAGGCCAAGCCTGGTGGGGGGAAAGGGACAGTGCCCCAAGGTGGATCTTTGTCATCAGAGAGAAGAGCAGCAGGAAGGGTCAGGCAAAGTCCAGAAAGAGGTGACCTTGAGAAGCCCAGGAAAGAGGCTGGGTCACTGAAGAAGATACATCATCCTCCGAGAAGGAGAGCACCAGCTGCCCCCAGGTCTCTGCAGTGTGCTCCGGGAAGGTGCACAAACTGTTTATCTAAGCAGAAGCACGTCTTCTGGGGCTCCCTTTCTGAGACACCTTCCTACAGCCTACCTGCATCCAGCCCCCTCCCAGCCCACACCACTTACCTTCACCTGGGGTCTGCACTTCAATACTCGGGTTGAAACTCTGGGACTCCCATGAAGGCCCTGGGGAGGCCGCCCGGATCTGAAATACGTATCTGGTAGCAGGCTTCAGGTTGGTGACAGTGACAGCCGGAGCCCCTGTCTTCACTGTGGAGTAAGTCTGCTCACTCTGACCCTGGAGAGGATGGAGCAGTGAGGCCCAGACCCAGGAGGCTGAGGGAAGGGAGCAGGGAGAAAAGGGACTTCCTGTAAGTTGGCTGGAGTAACCTGATCCAGATTATCCTGGGAGACAGCAGAGATTTCTCCCCTAGGATTCCCAGAGCCTCTTTCCTCAAGACTCATCCCATAATAGGCCAGGGCCTCCTTGGCAGGGGTGCCCAGATGGTGACTACCAGGGGCAAGGGAGGCCAGAGCCACACACTGTCACCTGTCCTATCTTGACACTTTTAACCCCCTGTCACCTGATTTGCAAAGCAGAAGAGAAGGAAGATTATCTTGTTGACTTTGTTCTGTTTCAGGGATGAGGAGCCTGGGACTTGCTTAGCTGGAGACAGGGGAGAGTGGTGGCTGTGACTGTTGAGGGCCACTGTGCTGGGCCACACGCCCCTTCCAGCCCTTATGCAGCCCCCCAGAGTCAACCTTTCTCTCTCCTTATTAAGGAAGGGCAGGGGAGGGGGCACTTCTAAGTCCTTCAGGTCTGCCCTTTGCTGCACCCCAGTACACCTGACACCCAAAAGTCCTCAGGAGGCTCCTCTTGTCATTTAGAGTTCCTGCCACACCACAGACTGGAGAGTTAAATGTCTGCCTGTGTTCTGCGGTCCTCCTTTCCTTTGACAATGACATTCATGGCAGACTTTGACTCAATAAGAACTCATCAGAATCTCCCTTGAACGTCTGAACAGTCAAACAATCTTTGGTGTGATGGTTCATTTAAATGCATGTGTGTGTGTGTGTGTGTGTGTGTGTGTGTGTGTGTGTGTGTGCTTCAAAGCACCTGCTGTATACACCGCTCTCTCCCAATGGCCCTCACTGCTGTCACCTAAATGCTAGGCTCCTCCTGTCCCTTCTCACAGACACCTCTTCTTCAGCTGCCATTTCTATGTCAAAGTTCTCACCCAACCCCATCTTTCCAACCCCCAGCTTTGATCTGAGCTTCAGACATACAGATGTCCACCTGGATGGCTGACTTGCCTCATATAGAGCAAAACCATGCCCCACCTGCTCCCCCTCCTCTGTGCTTCACCCCAGCCAGCAGCTTCCCTCTCTGTGCTTCTCCACCCCAGCCAGCCCCTCCCCCTCCTCTGTGCTTCTCCATCCCAGCCAGCAGCTTCCCTCTCTGTGCTTCTCCACCCCAGCCAGCCCCTCCCCCTCCTCTGTGCTTCTCCACCCCAGCCAGCAGCTCCCCCTCCTCTGTGCTTCTCCACCCCAGCCAGCCCCTCCCCCTCCTCTGTGCTTCTCCACCCCAGCCAGCAGCTCCCCCTCCTCTGTGCTTCTCCACCCCAGCCAGCCCCTCCCCTCCTCTGTGCTTCTCCACCCCAGCCAGCAGCTCCCCCTCCTCTGTGCTTCTCCACCCCAGCCAGCAGCTCCCCCTCCTCTGTGCTTCTCCACCCCAGCCAGCAGCTCCCCCTCCTCTGTGCTTCTCCACCCCAGCCAGCCCCTCCCCCTCCTCTGGTCACCCAGGCCCACGCATTCAAAAGTGACTCAGTGACCCTATTTTTTCCTGGGCACCCCAACTATCACAGCTCTCAACAGACTTCAAGTAGTCAACAGCTATTATCTGATTCATCAAAGCCCTACCTGCTGCTGGGGGGAGTGGAACTCTGTCACCGGCAGGAAGAAGTTTCTCTTTAATGAATTAATTTGCATAAAAGTGAGGCACTGTTTCACAGAAGATCACGTGTCAGAGTTAAAGACACCAAATCTGGTGGGGAAGGAGCTTGGGTTGGGAAATAACTCCATTCATCACATTGTGGCGGAACTGTTATCGCAGATTAAACACACACACACAAGAGGAGAAAGGTGGGAGGCACAAGCCTGTAATCCAATCTGGCACTAGGAGGTAAAGGCAGGGGGCTAGCTTGAGCTACATGAGACCAAAATAAAAATAAACTGATCACAAAATAAAAATAAACAAATGAACCACCAATGAAAGAGGGGGTAGGTGAGGAGAAAGGAGGAGAGTGTAAAGCTATTTGTGAGGAAGGGCACTTGAGCTAGCCTGGGGTGGGGGTGGAGAATGGGGAGAAAAGTCGAGAAACTCAGCAAAAGGCTGGGAGCGGTGGCACACACCTTCTATCCCAGCTCTCACGAGGCAGAAGCAGGAGGAGCCACAGAGTTGGAGGCCAGCCAAGGCTACATAGGGAGACTCTGTCTCAAAAACAAACAGGAAGAAAGAAATCAGCAAAAATATCTTATGAGCCGGGCATTGGTGGTGCACTTGGGAAGCAGAGGCAGGAGCATCTCTGTGAGTTCGAGACCAGCCTGATCTACAAGAACAAGTTCCAGGACAACCTCCAAAGCCACAGAGAAACCCTATCTCAAAAAGCAAAACAAAAACAAAAAAAATCAAAATCAGACAGTGTGGTGCACACATACAATCCCAGCTCTGGGGACACAATGATTGGAGAGTTAAAGGTAAATTCAAGGCCAGCCTGGGCTACATAGTGAATCCTAGACCAACTAAGGCTCAGCAGAGAGCTGACCCAAAGCAAACAGAAAGGATCTTTTGAGGGACTGTTTGCTATATGAAAAGCTGGGGATGGTGGTCCAACCCTACTACTCTAGAGGTTGAGGCAGGAGAACTGCTGTGAATTCAAGGTCAGCCAGGGAGGGCTACACAGCAAGACCCTATCTCAAAAATAAAAATAGCTCTATGGAGTTCATGATGAGTGTGTTCTATTTGTTTGTTTGGTTTTTTGAGACATGGTCTTTCTGTGCATCCCCAGCTGGCCTGGAACTTGCTCTGTAGACCATACTACCCTCAAACTCAGAGATCCACCTGCCTCTGTCTCCTGAGTACTTGGATCAAAGACATGTGCCACCATGCCCAGCCTCACCCTTTTATAGTAAGCCACAGGAATGCGGGTGACCATTTGGCAATGTGCTCCCGTGGTCACATGGATATCTCTGTGAGGCTGTCCTTTCCAAAGGGGTCTGCAGACTTATCTGTAAATTCAATCAGACAAAACAGACATGCCCCACAGCAAGCTCTTCATCTCCTCTAATCCCTAAACCACAGAGGTGAAATAGAGCTATGTGTCCATGGGTGAGGAAGGAGAGAGAGGAGACAGAGGAGGAAAAACCTCCTCAGGAGGCCGCAGCTGTGTTTGGAATGACAGAGGAACAAGACTGCAGGAAGCAGGCAGGCCAGGATCCAGATGACTTCCACCCGAGACTCACCTTCTCGAAGTAGCGGATCTCATACTCTGTGCCGTTGGCTCCGGGAGTTCCATCAGGAACAGGCTCCCGCCATGACAGGGACACGCTCTGGGGCTCCACACGGTCCCTGCGGATCTCATCCTCCTCCCAGGGTGCTGAAAGTAGGCAGAGTGGACCCTCCTGGACCCACTGGCCACAAGATCAGGGTGAAGGCAGGGGGGGTGGGACATGCACTTGGGCTCATTTTGTGGATGTGGGCGTGGCCTGTGGGTGTCGATGGGGACTGTTGAGGGGGTTGGAGGGGCAGTCTTTGAGGGACCAGAGGCTTAAGGAGAAAGAATCTCTGGTCAAGACTTCTCCCAGCTTCATTGTGTAGTGGGAGGGAAAGCCCTGTTTGCCTTCCCTCCACCCAGTGTCCCTCATCCTGCTAGGTTCTAACCTTTAAGCCTTTCTGTGGTTTGAAGATAGAATAGAGTGTGAGGCCGAGGTTGGCTTGTTCACCGTGGTATGGCCGCAGGCAAGCAAACATTACAAGGAAATCACCCCAACATGATAAAGAGAAAACGTGTGGAGCCCCCAGAGACTATCCCATTCAAGAGGAAGACTGGAAGCTTCCTCCTGTCTGGAGAAAGAGCGGGGTGCCTCTTGCTCCGTTTCTAACCACTATCATGCCTAACACTACCAGAGCAACCAGGCAAGAGAAACAAACAGAAGACCCCGGAGAGTCACAAAGACTCTCAGAGAACCAACCTCACAGCAGGAAGAACTGTATGCGAAGGGCCTGGGCTGAGTCAGAGTCAAGGGCTTGGTCAAGTTCACGTGTCAGAGCAGCTGGTGACCAGCAATGTTCTGTGCTGGCAAGAGGTGCGTGAAATGGTGTAAAAAGTACATGATTCCGGGATACCAGGGAGCTGGGGAAACAGGTGTCAGATAGCAAGGGGCAGAAGTAGAGACAGCACACACAGCCTGCCCTTTGACAAAGGTTTGAATACGGCTTCCGGTCTCAGTCGGTACACGTGTCCAGCCGGCCTTCTTTGCGCTCTTAAATTCCAGTGATGGCTATGGATACAGAAGGAGCTGAAAAGCCACAGTTGACTGCTGATTGCTAGAATAGGGGACAGGGAAGGAGTATCATATTTTTATCCTCTGTAAAACCAGTGGGACTGAATGGACTCACGTGGCTGTAGTGAATCCCGGGCTATACTACCCACAGAGCAGTACTGCCTCCTGTCCTAAAAATAACGTGAAAAATCCTTTAGTCTTTCCCCAGTGCCTGACCCTTTGAAAAAAGCAATGTCTTTGTGAACTGGACAATAGCAGCCGGTCACTCCATTGCACAGCTGCTTCTAAGGGGGGTACTCTCCCCTGCCCCCAGCAGCGCCTCGGGCTGAATTCACTTGGACCTGGCATGGAAGTGAAAGATGTGAGGAAGCTTCCTAGGAGGTGGCAAAGCCCTTTGTAGACCCAGATGGGGCAGAGACGGGGAGAGGCGACAAATGTCATGTTTGAACTGTCTTAGTCAAGAGCATCATACGGCCAGGGGATCCACAGTAGGACATGGTTCCATTTTAGCCCCTCAGAGATACATTGGATGAAAGGTTGACAGACCCTGAGAATGAAGGACTGGTCAGATGGCCCAGTGGGTAAAGTGCTTGCCATACAAGCATGAGAATATGAGTTCAAATCCCCAGGAACCATGTAACACTTTGGTATGAGAAGCTCTCTGGACAGTTAGTCTGGATTACAAAGGTACCCTCTCTCAAACAAAGGAAGTAAGGATTAGATGCCTCTGATTTTCACATATTATGCTTGTGAGTACATGCATGAGCGTGTACACGCACGTGTGCACACACACAATCATTATATATACACACTCAAAAAAAATCCTAAGAAACTCAAACCTCAGCCTGAGCCCCAGGGGTCCTGCTGTGATTATGGATGACCAGGGCCCTTCAGGCCACAAAGCAGCTTCTAGGGATCCCTGTCAGCAACCTGTTGCCTGCCCTATTGACCGAGCTCCGATTTTGATTGGGGAATACGTGGGTCAATCATGGCTGCACTAAGACATTAGTGTGCATTTGTTCTCTGTACTGTTGGTTTAGGGTTGGGTTTACTTCTGTCCTAGCCCATAAAAGTTGTTAGCTAAGAGAAGAGGTTCTAAGAGAGGTTTCTTGCCTTTAAAGAGATACCTATGGTTGAGTATAGTGGTACACACCTTTGGTCCCTGGCAGGTGGATCTCTGAGTTTGGGACCAGCCTAGTCTACAGAGCAACCAGGGCTACTCAGAAAAACCCAGTCTCAAAAGAACCAAAGGAAAAAAAAGTATCAGAGTCATGGAAACTGACTCTGTAGTCTCCTAGCTCCTGAAGCAGGAGGATTGCTATGAATGTAGGACAAGCCTGGGCTGGGTGAGAGACGGCTCAGAAATTAAGAGCAGGTGGATCTCTGTGAGTTCGAGGCCAGTCTGGTCTCCAGGACAGGCTCCAAAGCTACACAGAGAAACCCTGTCCTGGAGAAAACAAAACAAAAAGACTAGCCCAGGCTAAAGAGTAAAAAGTGTGTATGGCCTTGTTTCATTTCTAAAAAGGGGACACAGTGACTGGAGCAGTTGCACAGTGTAACAACTATGCAACAGCACTCACATCAGATGTCTCACAGCTGCATATGATGCAGTTCCAAAGGATTAGACACACTCCAGCCTCTGCAGGTCCCTGCATGCATATGCCTATGTTGCACTTAAACTCACTCAGGCACACACACACACACACACACACACACACACACACACACACACACACATTTAAAATTAAATAAGTATTTCTTTAAAGGCATAATGGCACAAAACTTGTTCCAGCACTCAAGAGGCAGAGGATTTCTGTGAGTCTGAGGACAGCCTGATCTACATAGTAAACCCAGGCTAGCCAAGACTGTATAATGAGACCCTGATCCACAAAAGGAGATGTGAGGGCTGGATGTGTCTCAATTGGTAGGATATTTGTCTAGCACTCAGAAAATCCTAATTTGCCACCTCTAAAATTCCAATACTTGGGAGGTAGAGACAGGAACAACTCAAGATCATCCTTAACTATATAGTGAATGTGAGGCCAGTCCCTGCCTGGGGCTCAGTGGTTAAGAGTACTGGCTACACTCAGGAGGCAGACGAAGACGGATCTCTGTGAGTTCGAGGCCAGCCTGGTCTACAGAGTGAGTCCAGGACAGCCTCCAAAACAATACAGAGAAACCCTGTCTCAAAAAACAAACAAACAAAAATAGAGTACTGGCTGCTCTTTTAGAGACCCTGGCTTCCATTTCCCAGCACAATGACAGTTCACAAATGCCTTTAACTCCAGTTCCAGGGGATCCAGTGCCCTTTTCTGGCCTCTGCTGCTACCAGGCATGAACATGATATACAGACATGCATGCAGGCAAAACACCCATAAACATAAAATAATGAAAAATAAAGGTCCTGCAGATACATAATATATATTAAAATGGTTTTATAGAAATAGTTGTGAGAGCCGGGCGTTGGTGGCGCACGCCTTTAATCCCAGCACTCGGGAGGCAGAGGCAGGCGGATCTCTGTGAGTTCGAGGCCAGCCTGGTCTACAAAGTGAGTTCCAGGACAGCCTCCAAAGCTACAGAGAAACCCTGTCTCAAAAAAAAACCAAAAAAAAAAAAAAGAAAGAAAGAAAGAAATAGTTGTGAGTAGAAAAAATATAATACATACTTTTTTGGCTTTTTGAGACAAAGTCTCTCTATGAAGCCCTGTCTATCCTGGAACTCGCTCTGTAGACCAGGCTGGCCTCAAACTCACAGAGATCCGCCCGCCTCTCCCTCCCAAGTGCTGGGATTAAAGACATGCATCAACACCTACCACCTGGCTGCCTGACTTTTAGCCTATGAAACAAAGTTTCACGTAGCTTAGGTTGAGCTCAGATTCACTATGTAGCTGATACTTTTAGTCTTTGAAGCAAAGTTTCACGTAGCTTAGGTTGAGCTCAGATTCACTATATAGCTGAGGAAGAACTTGGATTCCTGTTCCTCCTGCCTCCACTTCCTAAGTGCTGGGATTACACTTTCTTTTCTTCCTTCCTTCCTTCCTTCCTTCTGTCTCTCCCTCCTACCTTTTTTCCTTCCCTCCCTCCCTTCCTCCTTTCTTCTTTGGTACTGGTGATCAAACCCAGTGCCTCAATCATGCTAGACAAATACTGCATCATCAAGCTACTTTTCCAAGCTTTGAATTGCTAAAAATGTGAATGCAGCAGCAAGGGTTAAAGCTCAATAGAGATGATAAAGAACAGAAGTGTCCCAGAAAACCAGGTAGATTGGAAAAATCTCTCTCAAAAGTCCTGGGAAAGGGATTAAGAGCTAAAAATGATAAAGGAAGTGACAAGATGTGAGAATCAGAAAACGGATGTACAACCTAAGGCTTAGAGATCGCTTTAAGAGATACAGTGGGAGCTCTCCTCAAAGCAGCTGCCAAAGAAAACTTTCCCAGAAATGAAAAAAAGAAAGTGCGGATCAAAGGGCCTACTGTGCTTCAGCCAGACTGAGTGACAGGAAATCAGTATCGGTTCTGTTTTCATTTCCATCAGCAGGCTAAGAAATTATTCAGACACCCTTGTGTCTGCACATCTATATCTCCAAGGTACTTACAAAAGAATGAAAATCATCCCAAGCTTTGCTGGAAACCCAAGTGACGGGGTAGGGTCACAGGAGACAGGGGAGGAGGGTCACAAGCCAATCAGAAAGGAAAGACTCAGAAGCCACAGAGCGAGCTTACCCATCTTGCAAAGGGCACTCGAGGGATTACTTGAAAGTGTGCACCAGAGGAGAGACAAATCAGAAGTAAATGTCAAGGATGAGGAGCGTATGGTATCAAAGGTGGTTTTCATCCCACTCGAGACTCAGAAACGGGTAAGGCGACCACTCTGTCGCCTGCGTTCTGACTTGGCATGCGTCCCTGCAGCTTCAAGGGCCGGGGGGGGGGGGGGACGCGGGTGGCCAAATCAGCAAAGGAGTGGAGGGAAGAAGGGAACACACAGGTGCCACCTGGGGCATGGGGTGTAGTCACGTGGGTTCCTGAATGACTTGGAATGCATAGAGGGAACTGCGGTTGGGGAGGGGGACGGACTCCGCTGGGGCGCGTGGCCTCACCTCCGGGTCCGGTGGACACGGTGACCTGCGCGTAGGTGGCTTCCGCGGCGGCCGCTGGGCCTGAGACACCGTTGAGCGCGGCCACGCGCACGGTATAGCGCGCGCCCGGCCGCAGGTGCAGCAGCGTGGCGGCGCGTTCTCGCAACCCTGCCTGACGCGGGACGAAGGCCACGCGTGGCCCGCAGGGTTGGCATGCGCCCGCCGGACCGTCGCGGCCGCAGAGCAGGCACAGCAGCGAGTAGGTGACGTCGGAACGACCGCCGGAGTCCGCAGGCGGCAGCCACCGCAGTCGCAGCGCCAGGGGGGAGCGGCTCAAGCTGTACTGCAGGTCCCGTGGCGCGGACGGCGGCCCTGCGACATGGGGTGGCGCTGAGTGGGGCCGGGAGGGGACGGAAGCACTAGAGGTGCCGGGGCGCAGGGGCATGAGCACCCTGCATGGGTAGCAGTATGAGAGCCGGCAGTCCTTGATGGGGATGTGGCGGGGGTGGGGGAGCAGCCAGGAACTGAGAGGAGGGCATGAGGACCATCGAGGGGACTGGGATGGGGACATGGTCACCTGGAACAGAGGACTTGGAAGACAGGAGGGACATTCCAGCCAGGCCCAGGGAGACACAGAGAATCTTGACCCCATCTCAGAGAATCTTGACCCCATCTCCACCCTTCTGGGTTCCCCAGGTCCCAGGCCCCGGTGCCCAGACCCACCCAAGGCTTCCCTTTTTGCCCTGTCAGCTCAATTCCCCCACCCTGTCCCACCCCCTCCCCACGGCCAGTCAAGAGGGGCACTCACGAGTGCAGGAGGCTGAGGGCGGGTCCGTGGGCGAGCGAGCATAGGTGTCCTGGCACACGCAGAATGTAGAGGCATTCTCCAGAGCCAGGCTGTGCTCCGGGCATGGGGAGCAGAGGGGCCGCCTTGGGGACACCTTGAAGAACCCTGGGGGACAGGCTGTGGGAAGAGGCTGGTGAGGAGCCTTCCCCCTGACCACGCCCCACCCTGCATTCCTGTTTTTCCTGGAATAGGGTAGGGGAAGAGGGGTGGCAGCTCTTAGCCCAGTCTCACCCTGCCCTTGACAAATGCTTGTGTGCAGGGGACGGTGACATAATTCCCTTCTGTTAATACATGTGGCTTCATCTCCACGGTTAAAAAGCGGAAAGTGAGGCTGGGAGAGGCTAAGCTGCCCAGTGTCCCCAGAGTGAGTGGGTTTCCCACCACCGCCCCCTCTCCCCACTGCTCTGAGGTCAAAGGTGCAGATGATGTGGACAAGAGAAAGAAAGATGAGGCCTCCAAGGGCTGGTCCCTGTTACTCAGGGACAGATACACACTCCCACAGACAGACAGACAGACAGACAGACAGACAGACAGACACGCATGTATGCGTGTCAAAGTTCATTCTCCTACCACTGTCCACTGTGCTTAATAACATCCTAAACCTTTCTCAACTCACATTGTGGACTCCGGTTTGGAAGCAAAGCCGGACATGTGGCTTCCTAGACTAGTTCTAATCCGACACTACTCAGAATCCTGTGGCCCTTGCCACCACTCACCTAACCCAGATCACAGTGCCTAAGAACAGACAGAAACTCAAACGGGCTCGTAGCTGAGTTGCATCACCCACTTGTTTGCTTTGTGGTCTTGGGATGTTGGTTAATCTTTCTGAGCCTTGTAAAGGCTAGCTACCTCAGCAAGATTACTGGAGGACTGACTGGGATAAAACATTGATATGATCCTCTTCTGTTTGGACTGCTGTTACAGTGACAGTAACAGCGATAGTGTTTCTCCCTCTCAGGCCCCAAGACGGGAAAAACGAGCACACGCTGACTGATTGATTTAGGAGGAATTTCATGAAACCCATGCTAACCTCCAGCTGACAATGTAGCTGAGGACTGACCTTAAAGTTTTGTTTGTCCTGCCTCTCCTGAATGCTGGGATTATAGACATGACCAGGCTCACAACACCTATTTTGATCGTTTATTTTGTGTGTGTAGGGGGTGAGTATACATGGCTGTTTGTGAACATGTAAAAACCAGAGGTCCATGTCAAGCATCTTTCTCTGTCATTGTGCAGTTTCCTTATTGAGCCGGCTTCTCTCTCTCGGAATCAGCTATTTGAGCTGGCCGGAAAGCCCCTGGGATTTGCTTCCCCCTTCCTGTGCTGGGGTTACCTTTTATGTGGCATCTCAGCTCGGGTCTTCAGACTCCACAGCAAGTACTTTTACCCACTGGGACATCTCCCTGTCATAAGTGCCTATTTCAAGGGGTCTCGGTCGGGTTGGGGCAGTGGCTCCTGGCCCCTGCTCTCCGCTGTGCTTGGTCCTCACCTGCCTCTCTGGCCCTCCCCTCCAGTCTAACTGAGGATGGAAGGCTTCACCCAAGAAGACAGAACACCAGCGGGGAGGAAGACTAACCCTTGGGAAGCCCGCTCTTGAGAATGGCTGAACCATTGTACTGCTTGAAAGGCTTGGGCTTGGGAGGGTCCTATCTTGCCCAGAATCCCAGGGGCCCAGCAGCCTCTTTCCTTTAGCACAGTGGTTCTCAATCTGTGGGTTGTGGCCTGTTGGGGGTCAAATTACCCTTTCACCGGGGTAGCCGAAGACTATTAGAAAACACAGATTCATAACCATAGCAAGATTACAGTTATGAAGTAGCAACAAAAATAATTTTATGGTCAGGGGTCACCACAATGTGGAGAGCTGTATTAAAGGGTCGCAGCATTAGGAAGGTTGAGAACCACGGCTTTAGCACAAAGGCCCCTGTGCGTCTATGGATGTGGTCGTGGTCAAAGCCAAGACTTGAAAGCCTGGTGCAGTATTGGCTTTGTCGCTCTGGGTTGAGGAAATCACCAGAATTGTGATCACAGCATGTTTCCTGAGGGGCGAAATAGGGGGTGAGGGCATGGACAAGTGTCCTATGTGCAAGTCTTGGGGTATTAGGAGGAATGTAGGGGTGCCTCGCTCTGAGTGGAACAGGGTTGTTCTCCAAGCTGTGGTCATCATGGCTCATCACAGACAATTGTGGCCTCCCCCACTTGGAGAGGCACTGTCTGGAAGAGTGGTGTGTTGACAGACAGACTCAGAAAGGGACTCCCTGAGAGCTAGCAACTTCCTCTCTTCTATGTCAAGCTCAGAAATTTGGAGGTCATCTCGTTCAACTCACAATGGCCTTGCTCTGCAGAGACTTTCCACCGGCTTTGTTCATACACCTCGTGGGGGGGGGGAAACTCCTCCCTTCTTATCCCTTTGCTACCAGGTAGAAAGCTATTCCTAGGAGGAGCCTAAGATGGGTGCTCTGTGTAGAGTCACTCTGGCACCCCACCAGGGGCCCCAGTAATCTGTACAGTCTCAGCAAGCAGACAGACCAACAAGAGAGAGACATGCTAATAAGTTACCAGCCCTAAATTTCGTTGATTCCTATGGTGGCTAGAACAGGACCAAAAATGAAGGTCACTAAAGAAAGGAAAGAGTGGGGAGATCGAAACTCTCCACCTCTAGCTTTGAGAACAGGTCCACTTAGCTACGAGAGACAATTGAACTGCTTGAAGTTGCCAGTGCAAGCCTAAACACTTCTGTTCCCTTCTTAGCCCTCTCCAGCATCCCCCACTATGCCCACTCTGAACATCACAGAGAGCTTCTGGCTCCTGACGGTGATGTCTCACACACTCTGCACCCTGGCTGCTGAGTTCTCCAAAGTCCTCTTCCAGCAGCATCTCCCTTGGGAAGTTTGCCCTAGATTTTCCCCAGCTCCCTCACTGCCCTGGGCAGAGGTGACACCATTACAGGTGACTTTTATCTGGTCTCAGGCCAAGGAGGGGGAGCAAGACACAAGCCAGAGATCTCGAGTCCTAAGCACCCACGGCTTTATCATCTGTTATAAGCCAGGTGCTCTTCTAGGCTCTAAAGATACGCCATAAAGAAGACAGGAATCTGACAGTCTCCGCTTCATCACAGACACCTCCACACCTGGCAGAGCATGCAGAGAGGCCGTGAGTTGGTAATTCTTCCCAACATCTGGCTGGCTATGAAAACCACAGACATCTCCATCTGACCCCCATCTCCTGTCCTGCAGTCTGAAAGGTGGGGACAAGTCACCCTCTGTTTAAGGACAACTCAACATCTTCACTCTGGACCCCTGCCTTTCACCCCCTCCTTCTCCAAAGTCGACATTCCATCTGTCACCTCTCCTATGGGTCTTTGCAACCCCCTCTCTACTGCCTCTTTCCAGTGATGTCACTAGTGGGCGGAGCAGAAAAGCAGTCCATTTCCATGCAGGCATTAGGGCTCTGACTATAGACTATTTTAAAATAATCCTAAAACCAACTAAAAGTTGTGCTGCTTTTTATTAGCAACATGCGTCAGCAATTTTAACCTGCGTCAGTAATAAAACACTCCTTTCTTTTGAACAGATTGCTCCCCACATATATTTGGTATGCCGCTGGCTCTCCCCCACTTCCCAGCATATGCACAAGTGTCTCTGGTCTGCAATAAAAGCCCTGTCTCTGTTTAAACAGCACGATCATACACAAAGATCCAATCAGCCCAACATCCTGCTAAACATGCTGTCTCTTCTCCCTCCAAATTCAGACTTCTAGAGTCTTTCCTAGCAATTGTGCATGCATATGTATGCATGTGCATGTGAGTGTGTGTGTGTGTGTGTGTGTGTGTGTAAGGGGGTCTCACATAGCTCAGGCTAGCCTCACACTCATTATGCTGCTAAGGATAGCTCTGAACATCTGACTCTCTTGCCTCCACCTCCTGAGTGTTGGGATTATAGGCATGTACCGCCATGGCCATGCCTGGTTTCTGTGGTACTGGGATGGAACCCAGGGTTTTGTGGATGCTGAGTAGTTCTCTTCCAACTGACCCACATCCGTAGGTTTGATGCTCTACTGAGTTATCTGGGATCACTAGACTTCTAGATTCTTTGACTCTGGCTCCTCAGGGCTCTTCGTTGTTCAGCTGACTGCAGCCTGTTCTCTCCGTTGCTACACTAAAAGTTATTCTTGCCAAGACCAAGTGAACATTATCGAAGCCTTGACATGCCTGACTGCTCACTATGCTATAGGTTGCTGTCTCCTGAATACTCATCTCCCTGAGCCGTCATGTCATCTCCTCCTTTCTACCTTTACCCTCTCAGCACGCCTCCTACAGGCTCTTTATTTCTAGACAGGGTCTATTATGGAGCCCTGACTGTCCTAGAACTCACTATGTGAACCTGGAACTCACAATTATCTGCCTTCCTCTGCCACCCAAATGCTAGGATTAAAGCAGCGGTTCTCAACCTGTGGCTCACAATCCCTTTGACAAACCTCTATCTCCAAAAATATTTACATTATTATTCATAACAATTTCAAAATTACAGTTGTGAAGTAGCCATGAAAATAATTATATGGCTGGGGGTCACCACAACATGAGGAACTGTATTAAAGGGTTGCAGCATTAGGAATGTGAGAACCACTGGATTAAAGTGGTTTTTAGAAAATTTTTGCTGTGTATAGGTTGCACAGCAAGTGTTTTTGCCTGCTGAATCACCTTGCCTCTTTGGTATTTTTTTTCTTTGTTTCTTTTTAAGACTGGGTCTCATGTAGCCTAGGCTAGCATCAGATTCATTATGTAGGGGAGAATAGCCTTGAACCCTGTTCTTCCCGCCTCCACCTCCTGGGTGCTAAGACAACAGGCCTTCAGCATCATGCCCAACCTCCCATCACATGCATCTTCATCACTTAAGGACGGCCGCCACCACTTCAGTTCACAGCTCACAGTGTCCCCTGGACTAGTGTGCCACCTTCCTTCCTCCCTGCTGTCCTCCAAGGCTTCCCAGCCTGATCCTATCTTTGCTCTTGGTGGCTTGAGTGGTCTTTTAAAAACATAAGTCTGAAAATGTTGGCTTGCCTCCTCGTTGGCCTAAAGCATGGAGTCTTCATTGCATCGTTCTCTCATGGCCCCACCCCCTCCCAGCTCATCGCTTCTCACACTCCACGCCCTCTGCAGTAATCACTTATTTAGTACCAACCACTCTGCTCCTTTCTGTCACCAGGCCTCTGCAGAAGGTCTCAGCCACCAGGAAGGAAAACCTCCCTTCCTTTGGAAAACTCTCCCGGTCCCCAGAACTGGGCTCTTTGTAGAAGTGACACGCCCACGGTGTGATGGATTAGCATTGACTGTCAGTTTGACATCTAGGGGCATCTGTAAAGGACTGTGTAAAATAAGGTTAGCCTCTGATAATGTCTGTGAGGGATTGTCTTGACTGAGTTATTTGAGGTAGAAAAACCTATCTTTGTTTGTTTTTGAGATAGTATCTGTTTACAAAGCCCTATCTGGGCTATCCTGGAACTCACTATGTAGACCAGGCTGGCCTCAAACTCATAGAGATCTGCCTGCCTCTGCCTCTCCAGTATTAAAGGTCCATTGTAACTGTGGGTGGTGGCATTTCCAGAGCAGGTGTCCTGGACTGTACAGTATGGAGGAAGCCAGCAGGCACACATCAGTTCTTTGTTCTCTGCTCTTGACTGAATATGATGTGACCAGTTCTCTCAGGATCCTGCCTCTGTGGTTTCCTCTCCATTATAGACCATACATAACAGAATTATAAGCCAAATAAACCCTTTCTCCCCTAAGTTGTTTTTGTCAGGCTATTTTGTCATAGCAGCAGAAAGGAAACTAAGACACATGGTCATTCGATGCATTTCCACTAAGCACCTACCACATCCCACGGCCTGCAATAGACACTGGGGCTCCTGAGATTAATGCCTGAGCTCAGAAACACACCCATATATACATCTATGTCAGTACACCACTGTAGCACAGGCATAGAGGACTCAGTGAGAACTGGATGCTTGGGAGAGCCCAGGTTCTTGCTTCCATTTTTTGTTTGTTTTTGTTTTTTGAGAAACCCTTCTCTGTGTTGTTTTGGAGCCTGTCCTGGAACTCACTCTGTAAACCAGACTGGCCTCAAACTCATAGAGATCCTCTTGCCTCTGCCTCCCGAATGTAGGGACTAAAGGCGTGTGCCACCAATGCCCAGCATGCTTCTTTCATGTTAACCACAGTTTCCCAGAGAAGAGTAGGTCACATTCATCCACACAGATAATAAGAACTGCACAACACAGCTGGTAACCTCAGCTCATCTGAGTGGATGATTGAATCAGCAGATCAGATTGGCCTATGGGATGTCTGTGAGGGACTGTCTTGATGTTGGAGGACCCAGCCCACTGTGGGAGGCACCATTCCCTGGTCAGACTGCTCTGGGCTATACAAAAAGCTAGGTAAACATTTGAACCAGAAAGGAGTCTTCCTCCATGATTTTTACTTTGAGCTCCTTCCCTGGCTTTCCTCAGTGATGGACTGTGACCTGTAAACTGAAATAAATCCTTCTTTCTCTTGGATTGTTTTTGGTCAGTGTTTTATCATAGCATAGTGAAATGACAACTGATGGGAGATGTCATTTTGTAAATATTTTTCTCTTATTGTTTAATGAATAAAGCATTGTTGGTCAATAGGGAAGCAAAATAGGTGGGACTAGGAAAGGTGGAGGATTCTGGGAAATGTAGGCACGGTCAGTTACCATGTAGGACTCGAGAGGAGTAACAGGTCTGGACCCTTTCTCCACTAAGATAAGACCACGTGGAAATACTTACATAGATAGAAATGGGTTAGAAATTAAGTTAGAGTCAATAAGCCCTAGATATTGGCCAACAGTTTCATAATTAATATAGTGTTTGTGTGTTCATTTGGGACCAATGCAACTGTGAGACCAGGGTGATGGGAAAGAATGCATAACAGACAACATCAATCTTAGTCACTTCCTCTGTTGCCTACCATTCTGTAGCCCTGTTATAGCATATATTGCTTTCTTTTTTAATGTTTATTTTAACTTATATGTATGGATTTTTGTCTGCATACCACACGGGAGCCTGGCAGAAGAGGGTGTCGGATCCCTTGGCACTGGAGTTTCATGTGGTTGTGAGCCATCACGTGGGTGCTTGGAACTGAACCCAGGTCCTCTGGAAAAATAGTCAGTGCTCTTAACCCCTGAGCCATCTCTCCAGCCCCACATATCTCTTTCTTATGACTCGGAAAATAAATCTTTGCCCCTTTCCATGTAGATGTGAGCTTTTCAGGAGCTGGGGCTGTGTCTGATACCTTACCCAGAAAAAGACCTGCTTTAGAAGGTGCATCCTTCGGTAATGAATGGCTCAGTGTGAAAGGGCAGCTGCTGTCTAGTTTGACCATCTGAGTTCAATACCAGAACTCAGGGAAGGATAGAGCTGATTCCCATTTCCCACAGGTTATCCTCTGACTTCCCCTTGTACTCCATGACACTCACATGTGTGCTCTCTCTCTCTCTCTCTTTCTCTCTCACACACACACAGAGCACATACACACAAACACACAGAGAGAGAGAGAGAGAGAATACATTCTTTGAACTTTCTGACTTAATGCACACATTCTAGATCCTACCCTATTCTGCTGCTTCGAAGCCACAGACCCAGGAACTCAGAAAACACCCCCAGTGACACAGCAGTTCTATTTCAGAAAGCTGAGTGGGATCTCCTATGGACCATCTTGTGCAAGCTGCCACTCTTGATCTCTGAGGTGCCCCTGGCAGCCTGACTTGAATGTGGTCAAAGGTGAAATCTCTGTAATGCTAGCCTGAGGTGGAGTTTTTCTTATGCATGAAGGAGGCGTGGTGGAGCAATAGGTTCCCAGATCCGGGCAAACCTGAATTCCATTCCTGACTGCCCATTTCCCAACTTTGCAAGTGAGGTAAGTACTCATCTCTTTGGTAATGGGAACCTATCATGTTGCCTGAAATACAGATCTCTACGTTTGTTTTTGTTTTTGCTTGTTTGCTTAAGACAGCATCTTATTATGTATCCCAGTATGGCCTTGAATACACAATCTTCCTGCATCAGCATCTGAGGGCTGGATTTCGCAGTCGTATGCCACTACTCCTGGTTCCTAATATATCCTTATATGGGATCAGATTCACCTCTTCCAGCTGGTCTTGGCTACGCCCACTAGAAACTGCACAAAAGTTCTTGACTCCCAGCCCCTCCTATGGCTTCTCCACTTTTGTTCCTGCTTCTTCATCGAGGGCACACTATCTCCTGCCACCTGCATGCTATGTCCCCATCCATCCCTCCAGGCGCCCTGGATACCTTCACAGATGTCACCACGTTCCTGGAATCCGGCACTGCAGCTGCAGCGGCCAACGGGCACCAGCCACTCGCCATCCGCGCCACAGTGCATGCGGGGAGGGCTGCCAGGCTCTCCTTCTGAGTGGGACACACACGTTCCAGTCACTTCTACCAGCGTGGAGAAGGCACTCTCGGCTGCTGTGGCAGGGAAGGCCGCCAGGCCCCGAACTGTGGCTCGGCACTGCTTGTAATAGACACGAACTGAGACCAGTGCCACGCATGCACCCACATCCTGGAACGCCAGGTGGAAACCTTGACGGCTGAGGGGGCCGATCTCACGCACCTCTGTGTTCAGCTTCATCTTGCGTTCTCCTAGGTCACCCTGTGTGAAGCTCTCATCAGCTGCGATAGTGTCAATCTTGCGGGGTCTGTTGCCTCCTAGGCGGGGACGCCCACGTCCCAGGTCGGCCTCGGTTTCCAAGTAGTAAGCGTTGAAGGTCTCTTTGCAGGTGCCCGCGGCGCCAGGGATGCTACTGCAGTCGCGCAGCGTGAACTGCAGTTCCACGAAGATGCGCTGCCCACGGCCGCGGCTGATCCAGCCAGTCTGCAGCCAGTTGTCCTGGTTGGGCTCCAGCACGTTGCATACTTGGTACGTGCGGATGGGACGGTCATGTTCGTCCACGCCACTAATCTCCTCCCACTGAAGCAACAGTACAGAGGTGGACACCTTAGAGCCCAGAACTTAAGCATTAGCCCCTCTCCACCTTTTTTCCACATCTCCTGCCTTCTGCCTCTTAACATGCAAGCTCCTAAATATGACAAAACACAGGAAGAGAAGAGACCCTTTGGAAATGAATGAGTCAAATCCATTTTCTTCCGGGCACCCGGGGGGATTAAACCTAGATCTCTGGGCTTGCTGGGCAAGCCCTCTACCACAGACCTCTTTCCCCTTTTTATTTTGATATTGCATCAACTAAGTTGTCCAAGTTGGCTTTGAACTTACTCTGTGGATCAGACAGCTGAACTAATAGTCCCCCCCTGACTCAACTTCCTGAGTAGCTAGGCTTACAGGCCTGTGGCGAGGCTGGTGCCAATCTGCCAATCTGCCAATCTTTTTTTTTTCTTGAGACAGGATCTCATTCCATAGCCTAGGCTGGCCCTGATCCCACTGTATATCCCAGGCTGGTCTCAAACCTACATCAATTTTCCTCCCTCAGCCCCAGAATGCTAGGATTACAAACATGAGTTATCACACCTGGCTTTCTCTTTCCTATTATTTATTTATTTACTTGGTTTTTCGAAACAGGCTTTCTCTGTATTGTTGTTGAGCCTTGTCCTGGAACTCGCTCTGTAGACCAGGATGACTTCAAACTCACAGAGATCTGCCTGCCACCACCACTTGGCCACAACCTTTTTTTTGTGGCTGAAGAAACTGAGGTTGCAGAGGGAGAGCCACTTGACTGGATGGTCACAGTGAGTCAATGGCAGAGATAGGGGTGGTGCCTAGGGTCACTCAACTCTCTGTTCAGTGACCTTTCCACATGTCCCACCCCCACCTTGCTTACTCTGTCAATAAGTAATAGCTACTTGGAGGTCTGTGTGTGTGAAGTAATACCCAGCCAGCATTTGTCCCATCCAGCTCATATTTCTGTTCTCAGACACAGCCAGTTCTCTCGTTTATTTATTTGACTGACTAAATGAAGCTTTGGTGTTTTCTAGTAGAGTCACTCTGGCTTGACACCACGGGTTCTGGAAGATACGAACTCTGTGGCATATCTTTAGAAAATCTGTCATGGGCCCAGGCAGTGGTGGTACACACCTTTAGGCCCAGTAGTCAAAGGGCAGAGTCAAGTGGAACTCTAGAATTTTGAGGCCAGCCTGGTCTGCAGAGGGAATTCCAGGACAGCCAAGGCTACACCAAGAAATCACGTGTCAAAAGACAAAACAAAACTTCTTTCCTAGGGCAACTGGGATGCCTCGGTAGGTAAGGGCACTTGCCATCAAGCCTGACCTGAGTTTGATCCCCGGGACCCACATGGTATGTGGAGAGAATGGACTCCCACCAGTGGTGCTGGCCTCCACATGCATGTACCATGGCACCAATACACATACACACATACATAAACACAATAAATGAATAAATAAATAAATGAAGATTGAAAATTTTAAATTACTTCACAATTTCATAATGTATAATGTGCCTTAGCCACATCTCCCTATTACTTTCTCTTACCTCCTTCCCCCCACCAAACCACTTCTTCCCAGCAGGTCTCCCTCCTACTCACATATCTTTGTGTGTATGGCCCACTGCATTTAACTAAAGTTGTCTACATGAACATGGGTAGGGAGTTGCTGTGGTACATTTTGATCCTAGATGATCACAGCGTGCGAAAGGGACTGAGTCTTGGTCTACTAGAGGACCCTTTGGATGGAGCCATATTTTAACACCTACCCCATTACTTGGGAGTGTAGTCCAACCCAATTCAGCCTGGGAGGCTTTGGAGTCCAGGAGGATAACTAAGGAGAGGGGAAAACACAGATGTCAGAAAGCCACAATCAGGTAAGAAGGGTGAGAGCCATTGCTGGGTTTACCACAGATAACTAGAGGAGACGATGGAGAACAAAGCAAAGCTCAAGAAGACCAGAGTAGCTCAAGTCTAGAGAGGGGCAGTCACTGTGATTAATGAAGATCTCCTGTATCCATTCCCTGAGTCTTGTGACAAATGACCACAAACTTAATGGCTTGTGCCCTCTCTCCCATCTTCAGTGCCTGACTTGAGCCTCTGTTTCTATGACCATCTTGCCTTCACCTCTGGCTCCCAGGCTTGCTGCCCTCGTAGGAGGCCCGTTGTGGTTGTGCTGGAACCATTCATCCAATCCAGATCCATCTCTGCATAATAAATTCCCACTCACACTGCCCATCCTTTTGTACCAGTTGAGTAACATCAAGTTAGAGGTTAGGGCCTGACTGTTGCTGCTGTTGTTGAAGTGTTATTTCCACCTCCCACAGAGCCATGGAAGATACTCCCAAAGTCAGCTTTCACATTAGGGATAGAAGGCAGTGACCCTCTTCACCCTCCCCAGGTTCCCCCAAATTATATTTAACTATCAACAAGCAGTGGATCTGGGAACTAACTCTCAGGGGCACCCCAAATCCACTCAGATCTGAGGTCAGTTTGCCAGTCATGGAGGAGACGGAAACCTTTTGCATTTGCCTCCCAGTGCCTCTGGTGAGAATGAAGTAGAAAGACTACTTCTCAAGAGGGAACATCAGAATCTTTCTGTCCTTTACCCAGCTCCTTTCCGAGAGGCTGCCACCTTTGTTGCCTTTGAAAGAATGCCATGGGCCCTTGCAGGTATCATCCATGACCCTCTTCAGTCCCTCCCCACCAGAAAAGCTTGGAGTCACTCTATTCCCTCAGGATGTGACAGGTAGGCAGCCTTTCATCATTTAGGCTCAGAGAACCCTGGGTCTGGATAGCAGAGCTTTCTGCTTACAGGAAGCCAGGCCATCCCCAAACCTCAGAAAACGACTTCCCTAGAGTGGTAAGGAAGTGGGTGGACTTCCAAGGTGAGGGCCTCCAAGAGGGACTGGCTCTAGAGGCAGCTGCGGCCGGTGGGCAGGGCCGCCGACAGTGGGCTGGGTTTTGTCACCAACAGTGCTTGGGAATTGCATACTGGCAGGCGTCTGCCATCCCGCGCCAGGACAGACCCTGCGGGCAGAGTCTGCTCCAACATCTCAGGGTTCTGCACCTGCTTGTGTCTCTTCCGGATTCGACTGAGTGTACAGCTCCCAGAGGTGTGGGAGCAGAGGCAAGAGTCCGGCTGTAATGTAGCCCCAAATCCTCCGCAACGCGGACCTCGCGTGGTGGACTCGATCCCAATTCAGCACTGCGGACAGTTCCACGATCAGCACTTCGGGCAGCGCCCGGACTCGGCCCCAGTGATTAGCAGCCAGCCGACTGTAAGGTCCCCCAACGCCCACCCCCGCCCCCCACCCCCGCTATCTGTCTTCATCCCGCCTCATGCTCGGGTCTCGCCGCATCCCCTCGGCTTCCCTGCTCCCTTCATCTCCCCGCCCCCACACCTCCCACCTCCAATTATTCAGCGTGCCCATCTCAACGGCCCCTGCCCGAACTGCTGCCTCGGGCTCCTGTGGTCCCCAGCCTCTTTCTTCCCTAGCCTCCTAGGTCTCCAGACCTAAGCTCCTCAATACCCTTCTCTTCTCTATCGCTTAGCCAACCTCCTGTCTTTCTCTAGTTCTTTCCCGCCCTGCTGCCCGCTTGCTTCAAGCCCCAAAACAGAGTAGTCTCTCCAACGACTCCTTGCCCCAGTGCCCTAGACCCCCCAACTCCCTATTTTTTGGCATTTCAGGCTCCCAGTAACAACCCACCTTACCTTCCTCCGCGGTCCCGGGCCGCCCAGGTCCCAGAAGCAGAGCAAGGCAGAGTGGCATCAGGCAGACGAACAGGCGCAGCGGGTGTGGACCGGCGCCAGTCTCCATGGTCCACAGACGGAGCTGTCAGTGCGGCGGCGGCTCAAGCCTCGCCAGTCCAGCACCGCTGAGCAGTGCCCCCAGACCCCAGCGCCGGCTGGGGGCGGAGTCTCGCTGGTCACCATCATCCATGAGGACCAATCGCAAAGCATCGCCGCGGGAGGTCCACCAATCCCGGCTAGCAAAGAATGAGGAGGTGGAGTTTCATAGGCCAGGGGCGGAACGCCCAGCTGGAGGGGGAAACCAAGGGGTCCCGCAGACCTCCAAACCGTGGGGGTGGGGCAGTCCTGAGAGCTAGCACGGCTGCTGGAGAGCGAGACAAGCTGGCGTCGGTGGACCAGAGACCCTTAAACCTTAGCTCTCTGCATCCTGAGAAGTCGGCGCTGTGGGCGTGGCTTACGGAGGGGCGGTCCGCGGGGAAGCGGGCGACACTTGCAGCCTCTTAGCTATTCTTGGGAGCACCCTTGTTCCCAGGACTTGCAGGGGGTTTCCGATTCCGATATCATGAACTCAAGCTCTAGGGAGCTCCGGTGTCTCCCAGTCCTTGACCTCTGCCTGCATCTGCGGCTCGCGGTGTTACATGGTTCGAGCCTTCCTCCTTTTTCTCCTGCCCTCCTCCTCCTCCTCCTCCTCCTCCTCCTCCTCCTCCTCCTCCTCCTCCTCTCTTTCTCTCTCTCTCTCTCAAAACCCGACCCTCAGAGATGCTTGGGAAAAGAGAGTCAAGCCGGAGACAGGGTCCCACCCTACCAGTACCGCTTCAGAGGCTGGGAAACCATGTGGATGCTGAGATGGGGGCAGTGGCGGATTTTACAGGAACAATCCGCCACCCGGGTTCTTGCTTCTGCAGCCTTACATATAGCAGCCCCACGGCCTCTGTCCACAATCTGTTCAATTTGTGGTTCCCCAATGAGCACCCCACTCTTCCCACCCCAGGAGAATGATGAGAAATGCAGCACCGGGAATCCGAGTCCCCGTGAAAGGGGCGGAGCAGTCCTCGAAGAGTTCGGCCTGAGCTGAAGAAGCCGCAAGGAAACGTGGGACACGACCTCTATTTAATGAAGGTCACTTATGTTCCAGCTGAAGGTTTAACCATTTGGTGGGGTGGGGGGGCTGGGGGCCCTAGATCGAAAGAGGCAGCTATTGAGCTTCACCATTTGAACTGAACTTGAGGGGAGGAAGCTCTACCCACCTTGTGGCTTTTCATGGGGGTGCTGGAGCTCCTCTCCCTTTAGGCGCTACAGCAGTCAGAAAAGCCTAGAGTGTGAGTGTGAGCCTCCCATGCACTTGACTGTGGGGCCCCAGTGCCTGTACATGTGCTTAGACTCGCACTCCTTACCCTTCTAGCTAACACTTCCCGGGCATCATACTCTGTGCTGAGGGTATATCTGCCACATCAGATACCTCTGCACCGAATGTACATAGATCACTGGTCATTCACAAGCCACACTCTTGTGCTCTCTCTCTCTCTCTCTCTCTCTCTCTCTCTCTCTCTCTCTCTCTCGTGTGTGTGTGTGTGTGTGTGTGTGTGTGTGTGTGTGTAAAAGAGCTTGCTTACTACAGATGTAACTGCTGGACAGTAGTAATAGAGAAATGGGTAGGGGGATTGGTTTCCTTTGCTCCTGGGAAGAAATGTTATCAGGAACGGCTGGCCTGAGACATTGTTGGATACCGAAACCCTCTGAGGAAGCAAGAGGAGGTGTGGCCTCTGTCTATTTTCTAGAGTTAGGTGGGTCCCTGAAATAAGACCTACCTGAAGAAAGGCTCTTGTATCCCCCACCTTCCTCCTATCTTCATTCTCCTCACGCTCAGTTGCCCCTCCCCCTACCCCCAGCGCTAGGAGATGGTATTTTTAGAAGCTGCTTAGAGACCCAGGACTCCTTTCATTTCAAAATGAGTACTCACTCCACCAGCCCTCCCCCTCCCCCTCTTCAAAGCCAGGTCCTATCCCCTTGGCAGTCAGCAAGGCATCAGGTATGGCTTCTTGCCACAGCTACAGAGACTTCAGTCCAAAGCTTTTGACCCTGGGTACAAAACGAAATGCTAGCCCCCTCTGAGTCACACAGGAATCTTTTGGGAGCCGAACAGATGGATGAGGTTAACTGGGTAAAGTCACATAGAATGCCCACAAGACACCGTGGTTGCACCTTTGCATGCACTTGGGGGAGTTGGGGAGACAGAAGACTTAGGAATGGGAAGCAAGGAGAGTGAATTAATCCTTCTCATTCTTCCTGTGGGCAATTCATTTATATATAATACAACCAGATCAGAGAAGTCCTTGTGTTTGCAGACATATGCAAATCAGCCAGATCTTAATAGGAGTTGTTCCAAGGCAGACTCTGCTCTTCCAGAAGGCTGCAGAGCAGGTAACCTCTGACGGAGAGATTCTGCAAATCTCCTTGCTTCTCTGCACCCACATGTCCTTCCTGAGAGCAGGGCTTGGTCCCGAGTTTCCTTATGCAGTGTTAGTATTCTCCATGGAAGAGATGAGCTTCTCTGTCTAGTGAGGTACTCTCCACATCTGTGAAACCAGGATCTCCACATTTAGAAGCCCTTTAAGTAATGTGGAGATGGGAGCTATGATAAACCTGGACAGCATCCTGGACAGCATCCTGGACAGCATCCTGGACAGCATCCTGGACAGCATCCTGGACAGCATCCTGGAAGACCACTGGAAATCACCTTCGGTGTTGAGTCACAATCCACCAAGGTTTCACGCTGTGGCCTTGGAGGAAGCCTTCCTCCTCCCTCACATCATGCTTCAGAATGATACTCCTATTAACCAAATCATTGTTTATCACAGTCTTCAGTTGTTAGGAGCCAGCCAACCTACAGCCCAGGTTAGGTCCTTCTCTGAAATAGCTCTGAGGGGTGGGAGGCTCAAGAAGGGAAGGAGAGCCCTGGCCATGGTGCTGGATCAGGATCTCCTTGATAGGGTTTTGTCCGTGGTTCTGAATCTGCTCAATTTCGACGCTTCAACTTTAGCTTGCCCTGTAACTTTTCAGTGGCTGCATCTTCATACTCAAGCCAGAAGTCACTTCCCACTCCTCCTGTCTGTAACCAAGACAGAGCAGGTGTGCTTAGGAGCCAATCAGCCTTCATTTCCTGGAGTAAGAAATGAGGGGCTCAGAACACACCTGGGAACAACCGCTTTCTTTTTCAGTTCTCTCAGGCTCCTTGAAGCTCAAGAGGAGGGAGGAGGCTTCCTCTACTTCACTTTCTTCTAAGACCAGAGCATGAAATGGACTGTGACACCCAATTCAACACCAAAAATAATTTCAAGTGGTCTTCCAGGATGCAAATGTAAACTTTTTTAAAAAAGAGGTCAGTATTAGGACCTCAGTTTATTTATTTATTTAAAATCACTTTATTATTATTTTAATGTGCATGAATGTTTTGCTGCATATATATGCATATATGTGCACCACAATTGTGCCTGGTTCCCTTGGAGGTAAGAAGAGGATGTGGAGTTACAGACAGTTATGGGCTGCTATGTGGGTGCTGGGAATTGGAGGTAAGAAGAGGATGTGGAGTTGCAGACAGTTATGAGCTGCTATGTGGGTACTGGGAATTGGAGGTAAGAAGAGGATGTGGAGTTGCAGACAGTTATGAGCTGCTATGTGGGTACTGGGAATTGGAGGTAAGAAGAGGATGTGGAGTTACAGACAGTTATGAGCTGCTATGTGGGTACTGGGAATTGATCCGGAGCCCTCTGTAGGAGCAGCTAGCACTCTTAACTGCTGAGTCATCTCTCCAGCCCCACAGATCCAACTTTATCATAGCTCACATCTCCACATTACTTAAAGGGCTTCTAAATGTGGAGATCCTGGTTTCACAGATGCAGGGAGTACCTCACTGGACAGAGAAGCCCATTTCTTCCATGGAGAATACTAACACTGCACAAGGAAACTTGGGACCAAGCCCTGCTCTCTGGAAGGAAATGGGGGAGCAGAGCAGCAAGGAGCTTTATTCCACAATGGGACATCTTCATTTGTCACTTTCCTTGCCTACTCCATATCCACCAGCATAACAAAGGAATTAACATACCTAAGATGGATTCTTTTCTGAGGTAATTTATTCTCAAGTAAAAATGAAATGGAGTTATAAATAAAAAGAAACTTTAGACAGTTTTGTGTAGACAAGGTTGGCCTTCAATTCCCTAGGTAGCTGAGGACAACCCTAAGCTCCTGATGGTCCTGTGTCTATCTCCCAAGTAGAGAGTACAGGTATGCAACCATTACTCCCAGCTTTAGGATCTAAGATTAGTATACAGCCCAACACAGTACTTGGCACACAGGCTCTGTTATAGTATTATTCAACTCCACTGCTCATTAAAGTCAAAATAGGGGGTGGAGTGAAAGGATGAAGGAAGATTAAGTGGTGAGATAGGAAGAAACATAGAAGTAGGCAAAGAGTTGCAGAAGAAAAGTGTGGGACAAAAACACAGTTGGTTGAGCTGGGTGGTTAGACAGCAAAGAAATCTGAAAGAAAGAAATGGACTTGAGATGGAGGTGTCAACAGGACTCGTTGCCTGGCCAGCTACAAGTGGTATCAGAAGTGACATTTACCTTGGTGAATTCATCATGGTCCAGGCCTATAAACCTGACATAACAGCATTAAGAAGGAATCTATGCCCTGGGAAGCTGGGTGATGGCCACACTCAATCAGCATCTATCCCGCTGTCTGAGATTAGAAGCAGTACATTAGTTTTTGGTGAGAAGTGAAACTGCCAAGGGGTCAGAGTTGTGTAACTGTATGCCCGTCGTATGACTTCCTATAGGAGGATGTGCTCAGGGGGCCACTCTATGTGGAAGCTGCTGTATTGATGTAAGGAAGTGGCTGGAGGCTTCTATGGTCCTGAATCACCTCAAGCCTCCAGATTCCTTGGCTGGCCACTGATACAAGTAAGATGTAACAACACCTATTTCTCTGAAAAGCTGTTTTTTGTTTGTTTCAATACTTTATCTATTTTTACTTTATTGTGCTTTAGTGTTTTGCATGAACGTGTGTGTGAGGGTACCAGATCCCCTGGCACTGGAGTTATAGACACTTGTGAGCTGTCATGTGGGTACTGGGAATTGAACCCAAGTCCTGTGGAAGAGCAGTCAGTGCTCTTAACCGCTGAGCCATCTCTTCAGCCCCTGTTTGTTTTAATTCAAGCTCTATTGTACAGGGCCTCCATTTAACAGTTAAATTAGCTAACTAACATTGCTGGGCATGGTGGCACACACCTTTAGTCCCAGCACTTGGGAGGCAAAGGCAGGCAGATCTCTGAGTTCAAGCCAGCCTGGTCTACAAAATGAGTTATAGGACTACACAGAGAAACCCTACCTCAAAGCAAAGCAAGCAAACAAACAAACATAAAA